GGAGCAGTAGAAGAGCTTGGGACCAGAACGACAGTAGTTGGAACCGAACTCTCAGCAATCGGGGTAGCGGGATAGGTGAGAGTAACGACGGGGGTCGGGGTAGTACTGGTCTCCTCGTAGGTGGACGTGCTACGGGTGGTCAGGATGGTAATGGTACCTCCGATACAGTCTGCAGGAGTTCAAGTCAGCGATAAGCGCGTTTGGTTCGAGGGGAAGATAAGATTGAGGACGGGGACGCATGCGCCGATCTAAGATCCTCGAGTGCGTTTCGATCTTCCACGGGTATTAGGGAAGCACAAATTCTCTCATGTCGAAGATCTCAGAATATTCTAAAGACTGGGACTCGCGGTTTGAGGTATAGGAGCCAAGGGGAGAGAGTATATATATACCGGTGTGGGTAGTGGCGCACTGGACGACGGTGAACGTGGTGGTTTCTACACGTCGGGGAAGTTAGCAATTGTCACCAGTTTTAAAATGCGAACGAGGTGTGGCACTAGAGATTCTGTGTTGATTGATAGAAGACGGAGGGAGCACGTACGGTAGACAACGTTAGTAAAGGTGGTTGCCATAACCAAAGAAGCAAGACCAGCGACAAGGGCGACTGAGGTGCGCATCTTGTCGGTTGGACTGATTGTAGGGGAGGTGAGATTTTTCGAGTTTGTGTTTGTAAGGGAAGAGAGTGTGATACAAAGAGGATCAGGTAGATCGGAAAGGTTGTTTTGCTTGTATCGAGAGTGAGGGATAGGGGAGAAGGAGTGTGAGTATGAGTGTGAGTATGGTGTGGTGTGGTGTTGTTGAAGTCGGAGAGGAAGTCGATCTGAGAATTGGTTTATGAGGTTGAAAAACCGCGCTAGTGGAATCAACCCCAAGTCAGATCACCTGCTTTCGGCACTAACGGACCAACCCAACCAAGAGAGAAGGAGAGGCAGGATCTGATCTCTCGACTAGCGTCGCTTGCCTTCCCGCGATCACGGCCTGCAAATTCCCCAGATCGGTCGTTTATAGAGATGTGGATGGTGATTCTAGCAGAGGATGCAGAACTGAGAAGAGCCCCTTCACTATACCGAGAATCAACGCAGGTACACCTCGAGACATACACTATACACCATACATCATACATCAGACGGGACATGCCAACGGCGGTATTCGATTCACAAGCAAATAGCAGAACCACGGAGGCGCAACTTCACGATTCGAGATGCAGATGCATCCTCGTATCCCCGTACCATGACCAGAACCTGGCTGAGCTGTGACTTACGTACCGTCCTTATCTAGTACAGACAGCTTCCTCGAGTATCTCCGTTTGCAAGAGAAGGGACATGCAATGCAATGCAATGCAAAGCAAACCCGACTTTCTCACGGTCCTGCCTGCCTGCCTGCCTCTTTCCGCAACCGCAACCGCAACCGCCCCTTCTCCCGCTGCCACGGCTCTTCGCAGCTTCCCAAATCGCACGGCTCTTTGCACACCTCCACTGGCCAATCAGTCCATCAACGTCTAGACGACAGAAGAGGGAAGAACAACGAAAGGCGGTTCAGATAAGGGGCAGGTTCGGAAGAGGCATTCGACCGATCGGGAAGCAGCAATCGCAAGTAACATGCAAGGGCAGCGAAGCGAAGAGAAGAGAAGAGAAGGCTACGACGAGGGGTGCAAACGTGTATTTTTCGATAAATGATGATAGTAATTCTCATGGTCATTACAGCAATAACAACAACAGCAACAACAATAACAACAACAACCATAACAACAAGAGCAACAGCGGGCCACGGCTTCGTCGCTTGCGGACCGGCTGGCAGGACTCTTCTCGACGGCGCGGCTGTGGACATGCAGTTTCGACGCATACCTGCAGCCGAGCCGCAGCCGGATCTGCCTCGATCGACCCGGCCGGACACCAACTGATATCGCAGATCGGTACATATACTCTGCCATGCGCTTCCAATGCATGCAATCAACCAGCTGGCCAGACGGATACAAACTGCACGTCGGGAACATGTAGCAGTTGACGTCAAGGGACTCGGCGTCGTGTCGTCTAAGAGCCGAAGAGGTCAAGAAATGTCCGATGGGAGACCCAGCGGACCAAGGGTGGCACGGATAAGTAACTATACTACTACTTGTACCTACTACTGTACTACTTACTATTTTGCCAGCCCAGCCACGTTGACATCTAAATAAGCACCAGCTGAAACAGTGTTCATAGCGTTGCAATCTCTGTCCCTCGTCTACTGTACATTCTCCATATAAAAGATGGAGCTATTTTGAACAATATTAAGTAAGTATATTCTAGTTGAGGCTTCCGAAGATCGATAATGCTTTAAACCTGCTATTCTTGTGAGTTTACCGAAGTACCTACTCTGGGCCACCTTCGCAATTACTCGGGCAGCCAGCCACTACATACATACTATTATCTGGCCCCCATGTCGAAAATCATCCCCAAAATAGAGTCAAATTTACGCTTTCCCAGAGATACGAGCATTGGGGTCGACCGATCGACAACTACGTATCTACCCTCTCTCAAACGCATGCAGTGTGCGAAAGCCTATATGTCCTGGCCATAGCTAAGTGGAAGATGCGTCAAACGTCAGGCATCTTCGCTCTTAAATACTGAGCTTCCCAAGTCCGTGGTTTGTCGATTCGCAATAGCCGCACTCCATGATTACTAAGCGTCCATTGCCAGCTTCCAGCTTCTCAGAATAGCGCTCTTTTTCCGGCGGCCCTCTTTTTACTCGACATATTATATAGATAGGCATTGCCAAGAATCGTCAAGACCATGCGAGAGCAGTATGCGAAATTGACGTGACGATTTGGTCGTGAGTCATGTTTGTGGAGGTGGCTTGTTGAAACCACTGCTCCCAGGGCTCTCCCAATCACCGGCACTTTGTCACTTTGCAACTCGTAATGAGGTACAACGTTCGAGCTGAGAGAGCTGCCGCTTGATACCTATTGTTGCAGGTATGGATTTGTACGTTGTCATGACCCATAGATGGTATGAGCTCAGCCGACGTTCTGAGCTGGGACACCCCGGGGGAGATGGCTTGGATTAGGTATACCGACGTTGTACTATCATGCATGAGTAAGTGCCGTAATTGAAGCCTGACAACGGTGGCACGAGCCAGACAGAACACCGATGTTGAACCTCTTGATTACGCAGAGAATGCAAAGATCCGATCTATATCCGTCCCACTTCAATTTCGAGGAGGGGGACAGAGAGAGGATTATAAAGAGCCATGCCCACAAAGCGTCATGTTCTCGGAAGCATCAGTCGAGGCACTTTGTACAAGTCGAGGTAATAACTTCTCTTCAGTTTCCTTTTCCACGGTCTTTACCATTATTCTTAACACCACTGTCGTTACACTACTGTCTTTATACCACTCACTGTCTTGACACCACTGTCTTTACCACTATCCTTACGAACCACTGTCTTTACTGCCACTAACTTTACTACCACTGTCTTTACTGCCACTAAATTTACTACCACTGTCTTTACTCCATCATCGATTTCACTTTCTTAATCATGTTGTCCTTACTTTTCTTCCTCGCGATAAGTACCTCGAGCGTCATTGCCTGTCCTCAGCATGATCTCAATGCACGGGGGAACATCAACAAGAGAGCTTCTGGTACCCAGGATTGGGCATATGAGGCTTCATACAATTGGGGCATGTTGAATCAAGGTGCGTGTTCATTCCCCTACGTATACATATCCATAAATGGCTAACCGGGCCTTCCACAGAATACATTCTTTGCCAGGCCGGGACGCAGCAAGCACCTATCCCGCTCCTGACGACTCAAGGTTTCGCCGACACGCACATCCCCATGTTCGACGAGGCATCCTACATGGCCGTGCCAGGCGAAATGTTCAACTGGGGGTAAGTCCTATCTATCTGGAGCCCAAACTCGGCCAGGTCCAAAGCCTACCTACCTGCCTGCCTGCCTGCCTGCCTGCCTGCCTGCTCTTTGAAACTTACCTTGCCTTCAAAATCCATACTAACACAACTCCCAGCTACGGCCCAGCCTTCACCAACAATGCCTCCTCCAAGACCGGTCTCCCGAGTATGACCTTTGACAACACAACCGTCTACTTGAAAGGCCTGCACATCCACTCGCCCGGCGATCACACCGTGCAAGGCGACCGGTCCAAGGCCGAGTAAGTACCCATCCCCAGCTTCGCTCTGCATACATCTGAGGTGGTTACGCCGCCAGAAAACCACAGATACACACACACGCACACACACACACACACACACACACACACCCGCTAACCTTTCCTCTCCTCACCCAGACTCCACCTCGTCCACGCCGACGCCCAAAACCAAGAGAAAGCCGTAATGGCAATCCGCATCGACCCCGGCAACGCCGACTCCAAGTTCTTCTCGCAGCTCCTCTCCGGCTCGCACACGGGCAGCAGCCCCGCCGCCGGCTACGCGACCAACAACGACACGGCCGCCGTGTCGGCCGGCTTCTCCATGTCGGCCGTGCCAAACTTCGACTCGCAGGCCACCCTCCCCATGACGCTCGACGTGCTCGAGGCCCTGCGCGAGGTGAACATGTTCAGCGACTTCTGGACCTACTCCGGCAGCCTGACGAGCCCGCCCTGCACCGAGGGCATCCGCTTCTGGGTCGCCAGCAACCCCCTGTACGTCAGCGTGCGCCAGATGCAGGCCATCCTCGCCGTGAGCACCTACTCGGCGCGCGCCGAGCAGGAGGTCTGGCTGCACGCCATCAACAGGTGAGTGGGAGAGCCCTGGGGGTGGACAAGATGAAAAAAGAACAAAAAAAGAAAGAGAAAAAGAAAAAAATGCTCAAGCACTGCGCGTCGGGAGAAAGGGGCGACAGAGGAAAAGGGGAAAAGGGAAAAACGGGCAAAGGGAGTGGTTCTCGTGTTCAACTGATTTCTCACCCCTCCCCCTTCCCTTCCCTCACCCACCTTCTCTCTTTCCCATTCGAGGATCGTGGTGTACTTTGCGAATTATACAATGATGTACATACAATACGTACGAAGTAGAAGGAGACATGACTAACGAACAATTGATTAAATGAAAAATTCTTAACTCTTGAACTACTCCCGAAACCTTCTGGCTCACACGTGACACCCGTGATACTTCACTTGCCTGGGGATCTGCTACCACGGAGCAGAAATCAACTGTAGCCCTCAACCAAATCTTTCTTCTTCCGATACCCAACCAGAACGAGAGGCAACGTGACACCGTCTGGACAAGGGTTCCAGCTCCAAATCCCAGGGCAGATTCCAGCGCAGGCAGGCCCGGAATCGCCACTCGCCACGTGCTCCAGGGCTGGGTTAGTGGGTCCCAGAGCCCGAAACTCCGAGGCGGCGCTCATACTACGATAACTAGAATGCAACGACACTCGTTTCCCCCTCGCATCCTCAAAATCCATCTCATCGTTGGCAACCTGGCGCAAAAAACTTTTCATTGCTCGTGATTTCTATTCTAGGCTTAATTCGGTCTGTCAGGAAACATGTACGCCAAGCGGTTTGGAGAAGCATGCACCGGTATCAGCAAATAACAACATGACAGTCCAAAAACCGTCTCTCCTCGCTATGTCCCCCATGGCTAGCCTCAATCTAAGATGAGGAGTCCGATATTGTGACGGAAAAGTAAGACTTTATCCTTATCAACAGCGTGTCCGATCATCTGTGCAGTGCGAGACATGCAATTGCAATGTAAACGCGGGAAGAAACACCCTTCAGCGGAAAACAATCGACAGTTGCGATAATCATCCACTAGTTGTTGATGAACTTTTAGGCCGACTTCTCGTGCTGCGTGGAGACGCGTTGCAGCGAGACGACTTTGAGAAAGTTAGTTGCTATTTCTGCAATCAGGGATACGAGGAGGAACGTACCAAAGTCCTCCAGAGATCGCTGCTTTTGGTTCTTCTTTGGCGACTTTCCGTGCATGAGATTGTCGAAGCCAGAGCTGTCCTGGAGAAGATAGTAAACACCTCCCATGATGCAGAAGACACCGAACGAGAAGATCCAGACACGAACAACAGCGACAATGTTAGTATCGCCTTGAATGAACCAACCAAAAATGGTGAAGAGGGTCGCGAGCACATCGACGAGGAGAATCGCGCCAGCCAGTTGCCATGAAGGGAGGGACGACCAGAACGGACCATTGGCACGAGTGATGAAGATCAGCCAATTCTCAGTGAGGGAAATCTCGAGGAAGACAATCCCATCGATGGTACCATAATTCTGAACGATGCCACCATTTTCCCCACGGGCAATCATGGTAGTGAGAGTGATCCAAGTGCCAACAGCAAGAACGATACCGAGGAGAATCGACATGCCCCATAGCTTGGGAAGATTCCACTTCACCGGAGTCTTGGAGAACGGAGCATTGTCGTACGCAATGGCCAATGTTGCGACGTCAGCAAAAATAGCGATGAAGACGACTAGCTCAATGTTGAGCGATCTGTTTAGAATGGCAATCCAGAGACCGAGGAAGATCTCCAAGTGGATGGACAAGGCAATCCGGTAGACGACGTAGGCATACATGCGGTGGAAGATCTGGCGAGAAGTCTTGAGAGCATCAATGATAGCGCCGAGGCCAGGAGCCAAGAAAACGATGTCGGCTGCAGACCGAGCAGCATCGGAAGCACCCTCCACAGCAATACCGGTATCAGCCTTCTTCAGCGATGGGGCATCGTTCACCCCATCACCAGTCATGGCAACGAGGTATCCACGTTGTTGCAGGATCTCAACGACGTTGTACTTGTGTTGAGGGAACACCTCAGCAAAACCATCAGCAGCCTCGACGAAATCGTAAACCTCCGAACCTGGCATATCTCCACCGCCGCCAAGACCAAGACGTTCAGCGTTGTAGACATTCGTTCCGAGACCGAGTTGACGGGAAGTCTCACGGGCGATACCCACAGCATCTCCAGTCAGCATCTTGATTGAGAGGCCCAAAGTCTTAGCTTCATTGATAGTGCGGGCAGTGTCGTGGCGAGGAGGATCAGAGCAGGGCATGATACCAAGAATCTCCCATTGGCCTTGATTACGCTTACGGGCCACTCCAAGGGAGCGGAAGCCTCGGGTAGCAAATTCGGCAACCTTGTTCTTGTAGGCTTGATCGATATCCTCAGGGATTGGGTGGTCCTCCTCGACAGTCTTGAGAACGAACAGTGGTGCACCCTTCACGCAGATGATTCTCTCGCCTTGGGGTGACTCGACGATGGCCTGGACCTTCTTGGAAACCGGGTCGAAAGGGTGGAATTCAATGACCTTATACTTGGAAAGAACAGCCTTGGCGCGTGGGTAGTATCGGAGAGCCTTCAAGAAGGCCTTGTCGATGGCATCGATACCTTTCTTCTTACGAGAGGCGGCGAGACACGCAGTCAACATAAGGTCATCTGCGTCAACACCTGGAACCGTGAATGGCTCAGCAAGGGAGAGCTTGTTTTTCGTCAAGGTACCAGTCTTATCAGAGCAGAGGATCTCAACGCCAGCGAGGGACTCGATGGCAGAAAGCTTTTGAACAATGGCCTTCTTCTTGGCGAGGTATGCAGCCCCTACAGCCATAGTGGTTGTAACGACAGCTGGAAGACCGACGGGAACACCAATAATAGTTATAGCAAGGGTGTACTCGAGAATCGTGACAATCCCGTTGGAGCGATAGAAAGACGAGACCCAGACAACCAAGTTGGTGAAAATGACTAGGACGAGAAGAACCGTGCCAATGCCGTTCAAGACCTCAGTAAAGTGTCCAGTTCCGCTGGAAGCCTTGTTGACAAGCGCAGCAGCGCGACCGACAAAGGTATTATCACCAGTAGCTGTGATAACCATGAAGGCCTCGCCACGCTTGACACCGGAAGAAGCATAGCACTGATCACCCTTTTGCTTGTCGACTGCGAGAGACTCGCCGGTGATGGCAGATTGGTCAACTTGGAGGAAAGCATCGTCGGTAACAATGCGGCCATCAGCAGGAATGATGGTACCCTAGTAAGAAGATCATGTCAGTGTAGATCCAGCATGTTCTCGAGAGGCAATGGAGCGACTCACTTCTTCAATTTGTAGAATGTCACCGGGGACAACTTCCGGAGCCTCGATCTCGAACAGACGACCATCACGAAGCACCACGGCCTTCAACGCCAAGGTCTTTTTCAACTCGTCGACAATCGAACCAGCCTGGAACTCTTGGATGAAACCAACGGAGGCGTTGAGCAATAGTAAGGCGCAGATGACACCGAAATCGACCCAGTCCTGAAGACCTGCAGCGAGAACAGCGGCCGCCTATCACACGTATTGTTGTTAGCATGGCTCTCTGCTGGAATGCTTTTCATTATGGCCCCCTGCAGTTGCACCCATGGACGCGGGTCGCATGGCGGGGAAGACATCATCCCACGCCAACGGATGATCCAGACTCATTGGGATTAGATGCAAACGGAGAGAGAAAAAGATGTTGGCAACGAACTTCCATGACGAACTGAATAGGACCGATGAAGTATCCAAGGAACTTGAGGATCATGTTCTCCTTTTCCTCCTTCATCTGGTTGTAGCCATACTTCTTGCGGCGGGCGTGGACCTCAGCGTCGGTCAGACCAATTCGAGTATCTGTTTGGAGTTGATCCTCGGGAACGACGCGTCCACCGGCTGGAGTAGCTTCGTTCTCTTCCTCGTCGTCCTCGGCATGGCCATCCTCGGATTCGAGCTCATCGATCAGAGCGTCCATGTCCTCGTCTTCGTCGTCATCATCAACTGGCTTTCTCGCAGAAGCGGAGGTCGCATTCTGGCCAAGCTTCTCGTCGAAGGTGCCCGACTCGATATTGGTATTCAAGTGGTTTAGATTATCGGATGAGTTCTTGGAATGTGCTGATGCACCATGGAAGTCCGCCATTGCTACTTAAGGGGGAAGTGGAAGCGTGAAGCTCGAGAAACGAAATATGTGGGATTGGCGTCCGCAGAGCTCCAGGTGAAGCAACAAAGAAAACAAGGGCAAGAAGGATAGGAATACGTCGTGAGAATACGGCGCGATGGAGAGATGCGAGACTGCTGATTGCTGCCAGAGTTTGGCTGGGATGGGGGGGCTGGGGGGGGGGGGTGGAAAGGGAAGAAGGGAATCGAACCCGTTGGAAGTGGAAGTGGAAGTGGGAGTGGAAGTGGGAGTGGAAGTGGAAGTGGAAGTCGAAGAAGGAGGTGAGGGTGGGAAAGAGATATGGGGGTTGAGTTGATGATCTGGATCTCGATCTCGATGGGGATGGGGATGGGGAGGGGAGGGAAGGTTCTCGAGCTGCCTATCTTATCAGGCGACGCTAGTAGGCTGAAAGATTGATAAGTACAGTCAGTAACAGCGGGAAGTGGGAAGGAGCGACCCTTCGTTGGTGGGGTTGGTCTCTCGCTTATTGTTTGACAGGAAGGGGCCGCCCACACCCTGACACCACGACACCCCGACACGGACATGAAGACATCATACATCATACCCCGCCAAGGTGGTACAGGCAAGAGAGAGAGAGAGAGAGGAGAGAGAGAGAGAGAGAGAGACAGAGAGAGGCATGTGCAAATCGTCCCGTCTCGGGTGTACCCTCCGACCCATCCCCGCCAAGGTATGACTGACAAGCTTTTATTTACTCCGAACACTACTACTGACTGTCGATCCTCAAGTCTTGGTAGTTACCGTTGTCTCGGTGCAGCCAAGCGAATACCATCACGCGACGACATCAATACGAACGACCATCTTCTTTAGCGAGACGTCGATACATCGCAAACAATACTCTCTTGCACATTGCAGCTTCCATCGTTGTTCGATGCTCCTGGTACGGCATTTGAATACCAGAGTCTGGCGTCCTTCGCAGTGAATATGTTCATTGTTTTTCCCAGTGCCTTCAACCGTTCATACTTCTTCTGCATAAATATACCTCGGTACACATGCATGCATGCGTCTATTGACTAGCAAACAAGCGATAATCATCGACATTTCAATTGTCGTGGGGATCTACCCAGCATCTACCTCGGCGGTCCTGGTAGCGGCTATTTGGTGCACCGCAACACTAATTGTAATCGAGAGCCCGCAGGTTAACAAGCAGGCAGAGAGAGGCCAGCAGGAAAGGGAAAAGAAGTGATTATCGCTAGTGTTCCTAGACTAACACTTTCTATCACAACCTTTGTTACCGTCTATTGTCTTGGTGCTTTCCCTTGGCTGACAATGAGTATTCTGCATATTCGGCCCTACTTTGGTTCATCGCACAACTTCGCTCGCAGCCCCTAAACTGAAAATCAGAAATATCCCCTCGCTGGAAAGTCCTGAAAACTTCCTCACTCCCTGGGTTTCTTCCTTGCTCAGTTTGCTTCAAGTAGCTGTCTCACTTTTTTTGAGATTTAACTCGCTACTGGGACAGGCCGTCCTGATATACTCTGCAAGTGATTCTATGTAACAGTTGGTTTTTCCAGCCTCCATAACATTCACAGCGTGCAAGCCCACTGCCCTCCGCAACGGACCCTTCTCCCCTTGTTTATCTTCTCCCTCGCAAGTAAACAGGCACCTTTCGGCTCCCCCAGAAGGCCAAAGGAGTTCCGAGCAGGTTCTGGGTATGCTTCCGACAGAGCTTGCGGGTATCCAGAGTTCGAAGCTAGCTAGACTCGGCCAAGATCCTCTCCCGGGAATCAAGGGACTGATGTAGTTTTTCAACTCGCTGCTTGCCGGAGAGAAGCCTCGGGAGTCCGTCCATCCTCGTACAAGAAGGTTCGTTTTCGTTTGCCCTGCCTGTAGCTTCTCTATTGCCGGGACTGGCATTGTATAGCAGCTAGCCCGATGGCTGTAGCTTGGGCTCGAGAGTCAGCCCCAATATATATCAATATATATATATATTTAAAAAAAAACCCAACTTTGGTTTCACCCCTGTGATCTGGGACAGAGCATACCACATTCATAGCTGGGTAGTATTCTTTCCTAGATTCACTCCAACCGAGAATGTGGGACCCGAAATAAGCTCGGGAGGAGGGGGTTGAAACCCATTTCTACTGCTATTGTTACCATTATTTACACAGCACAAGAATCAGGATCTGCGTTGCCTGTGAAAGAGATATAGATCCAGCGCAGGATAATTCGAGCGAAGAAAGAGGACTTTGTAGAAGACGCAGTCTCACAGTCGTTCTAGGATCGCTTCGTGTCCAGGATCCAGCAGACATGGGCTGAAGGAAAAGATGGTGAGCCTGTTGTCTGGACGCATTTAGATGCGTTTGAAAATTATATCGGATGTAGACTGTGGTCTTGCGCCAGGATATTGCTGACCTTGAGAGAAAAGGGGATGGGTGGACGGATGGCAGCGGGAATTCGGTGGGTAGCTATGTACCGTGCGGTCATCCGTTGCTCATTTTCGTGTTGCTCGAGTACATACGCTTTTGAGAGCGAGCGAGGATGACTTGTTCCTCGGCTCCAGGAATCGATCATCGTGATTACCATCCACTCTCTCATCCTCGTCTTCGCTGGTAACGTATCCTCTCTTGTCGATGCTACCGTGCGATACTAGGGTGGGAAAATAGCGGGAGATGAATGAGCTCCATCTGAATGCCGATCTCATCGATGGTATCCCAAGCGTTGTTGATCTTGGTGTCAAACTTCCGCCGGCCATAATTTCCATAAGGTAAAGCTCCGCTCCCTCTCTGTACCCAAGGGGTCTCGTTTGCAGCAATCCGAAGAAGCGTGTGTTAATCTACAGAGGTTAGGTCTAAACCTGTCGTGAGATACAAGGTGGTGGTGGTGGTGGTGGGCCATGCTCTTCCCCTCGTAGCTTATCATTAACACTTCCCTTTTTCCTTTTTTTCTGACAGCACTCTCCCCAAGAAACTCAGGCGAATATGGTGCGCAGTCAGCCAGGTAAAGAGATCTTTACGAGGAATGAATTTCTACCAAGGGTATACTAGCCACGGCAGGGTTTAGAGAACACCCCAGGGCCGGCTGCTACTTCCTTACCCACCAAGTTGTCGAGCATAAAGTAAACGAAGGTGCTCATAAGTATACCGCAAACTCTACAGACAGAGCAATCTCGAGTGTGAAAGTAGCGCTTTACATCAGATCTAGGACCGACGCATTAACAAGATACTCGAAGGGGACTACGAGGACAAGATACGTTATTACAGGACTCGGCAACTGCTGTTGGCCACTTAAGCGAGAACGTCAAAATCAACATTAGACATTCAACTATCACTTTTTAACTGCGCAATAATCACAAATCCAAAGTAAGCTCCCTCGCGCAAGACGACGATTTATCGCACTGGAGGCAACATTTACCAACGTGTTTTTTTCTGGCGTTCCTAATATCATGGACAACTAGACGACCTTTTCTAAAAAAAAAAAAAAAAAGGCTCCGTAGATCCGATTCTAGACTTAGGTGGCCCAAACAGTTTCGTGCAGTCCGCTCTTAATCTGATGAAATATACATCCGTTATGAAATCTTAGCAACGGTCGCACTGCTGACAGCATTCATAGGTTTGACGGCACAAAGAAGTTGATTTCTGTACCAGGCTACTAGTATCCGAGATAGGTCACCTTATCGACAACCATTGATCGGACCATCATTCACATTGATCATAGCAAAAGAGGCATTTCCTATTTGTGAGCACCATCGTCCCGGAGGTGGGATACGTTCCTGCTGGGGAAGAATAATCCCGTTCAGTATTGGGCTGGATACTCGCAGTGGCGAAGTGATTTATACTCAGCTTCCTTCCCCCCTCACCCCCCACCCCCTTTCGCCTCAAGCAGGTCTCGCTTAGCTCAAAATAGCTCAAAAGATGATCGCATCACTTGAGTACAACTGGTTTCATCTACTTCTATACAACATAATATACAGTGAGAGCCTCCTGCAAGCCCCACGAATACCTAAGACACTTGCATCATCCAATCACCCCAGGGTCATACCAGCATTTCGTGACTTAGCAGTGAAGTGGATGATGATGGGTTGGTAGCATCCTGAGTCAAAACACGCAGCCGAAGCGAGATTTCCCGTCCCGATAACAAGTCTTCTTGCCGTGAAAAGTAATGCAAAAGACCCTCAAACACCCGGGGCAAAGAGTATAAGGCGACGTTCGAAAGATCCAATTTTCGAGACTCAAGTGCCTCCATCACAATCACGAGCAGTATCACACGTTCGTTCAAGGAAACTCTGGACGGTGAGCATCGGGCCTAGCCCGGGACTCACTCACTTCTTTACCTACGCCAGACCGAGCTGGAATCCATAACGACTCAGTGATGAACCCGTTGAATCTTGTGCAATGCTCTTCTCCTTCTCCTTCTCCTTCTCCTTCTCCTTCTCCTTCTCCTTCTCCTTCTCCTCCTCCTCCTCCTCCTCCTCCTCCTCCTCCTTCTCCTTCTCGTTACCCAGTACCCACAACAACCGTCTATACGCGAGAGCATCTTCCTCCCACCCGCGATCAAACCCCATAATCCGCTGTCAAAAGGAGAAAAAGCCACAAGAGGGCGGAGAAAGTTGATTCCGGCGAACCTAGGCTCGGAGACGAGGATTCTTGGTCAGGTGAGTTAGAGCGGGTCTGCCTCGTAATCTTCAGCCCAAGTGTAGCTTGGGCGCCAGATGCCTGCCAGCTTGCAGCAGGACAGAGCCAAGATGTTTTCTTTCCTCAGAGAAGACGGGAAGCAACAGGTGTTCATTAGTTTGTGGGAAGGGGGAAAGGCTACCTATGTAGTCCGCTTAATACTGGTAGACGCTATGACTTGTAGGCGTCTGTTGCGCTTTCCGCACATCACTTGGGACTTGTACTCAGAGAAAAGACAAAAAAAAAGGAGGGGGGGGGAGGGGTGGAGCTAGGCATATGCCTAGCACCGCTTCCCGAGCTTCAATCGCAATGCGTGGATATGTATGGGTGTTGTTTCTCCATCCGAAGTGGCAATCGTACTGGATATTTATAGTTGGCTATTGATGGAGAGCCGCGCAGGCATGAGACATGCCATTTCCCGAGGTAGATTTGCTGAAGCGCTCTAGAACTTTCTCGTGGCTGAGATCAGGCTTATTTGAGCGGAGTTGCATTCCCGTCACGGAGGATCAGAAATAACAATACTCAACCTCAGCCATCTCCCTGCTCGTTTATTCGCAGGCCCGAGCGAATAAGCAAAGGTAATTCAATCTGGATAGCTTCAAAAGCGTGAGAGCACCTCTTGCAAATGAGATTCCTTTAGCATACGAACACTCTTACAAACACGCGACCAATAGGAGAGCCAAGACACCCATCTCTCGGGCGCCACGTTCGATCGACACACAAATCAAGATAGCAGCAGCATTAAGGGAGCGGCCGAACGGGAAAGATTTGCAAATACATAAGTCTTTGATTGTATCGCCGCAGTTCTGCTGGAAGCGGTTTCGGTCTCTCCGAAACAGCGAAGAGGAAAAAGTCAACACAAATATCCGTAGGTACGCACAAGCTATGGCCACATTGTCCCAGTTCTAAAACCCAAATTGGGCGTGCCCTGACCAAAACCAAATGATCTCCCCAGAAACGCCGTCTAATGCTTAGCCGTGACCTTTTCGCCGGTGAGGTTCTCAACGTATGTCTTGGCGCTGTGGTGTTTGATCAGCATGATGCCGCATAAAATTTGTGTATACTTCGGACTCTTCCCCGTGGTGAAGGTGCGTGTCGAAAACGCAATCTCATTTGGAATTTTCAGGAATTGAAGAGAGGGGAAAGAGGAATAGAAGGCGAACTTACATATCACCAAAAGCAACCATACAAATCGTCTGCCAGACGCTCAGCCCAGCCCGAGGCAAAACACCACGGTACAGGCCCTTTAGCCCATTGTTCTGGTAAATGTACTTGGCGGTGTTGACGACCGTCATCTTCTTCGGCCGGTTAGGATCCTCTTTCTTGCTCTGCATCTCCACGCGGATAACCTCGATCGGCTGGTTCCACGCACTGAGACCACCTCCCAAACTAGACGCCAGGATCTTCTCCCACGCATTCAGCTTGACACTGTCATCCTTACCGGCCACCTTGCGAATACCTTGCTCAGCCAAGCGGGAGAGACCAAAACGAGATCCCCAGTTTGACATCTGACGGATAGCGACAGCGTTGACACCCTTATTGATACCACGAATACCTTCCTGGCGGTAGATATCCATGAATGTAGCGAAGGTACCGGGAGGCTTCACGCCCGAGGCCGCCAGCTTGGACTTGGTGATCTCGACGGTCTTCATGCAGGTGCAAAATCCCATCGTAGCGTATGCTTGTGAGAGACCACCGAGGATGCCACCGCTGATACCGGCTGCGAAATCGCCGGCGCCAAATCTGCGGGCGTAGTATTCCCCCTCGGAGGCAACGAAGAGGAGGACGGCGCCCTTGGTGGAGGCTTCGATCCAGGCCCAGGGGATCATACCTTGGTAGACTGGTCGCAGAGACAAGCGTTAGAAGGCTGGCTCTTTCGGTAGAAGTACTGAAATTGGGGTAGACTGCCAGAACTTACACCCTAAAACACCACCACGGCTCCAAATCCTTGCCAGAGCACCAACAAAGTTGTCACCTCTGTTCGCGGCCATAGTCGTCTTCGTAACCTCCAGAGGCTGTCCCAAGGTAGTGACCTCGAACCTGCCGTCGTATTAACTTCAGCTGCGGATAAGAAGAGAGCGCCGACTTACATGTTGAGGCCAGCCCCAAGCAGCAGATTGCTGAACTTGATGGGCTTCTTCTCGATTGGTTTGTTGGTAGCTGCGACGGACATCGTGGGCGCGTATTGTGTGTGTAGGGGCCCTGACCAAGGGATGAGGGTGCTTCGTTGCCGAACGGAGTGAGAGAGGGAGATGGAAAGAGGGAGTGGAAAAGAGAGGCAGAGGAAGAGGAAAAGTAAGACGGACAAGTTGACCAGCAAGGGCTACGGCAGATCAGACCTAGCTCGGCTGGTGTGGAGCTGGTTGATGTTCGGCGACCGAAGAACAAATGCGAGCGATGATGGCTTGGTTTGGACCGGGAAGATTCGTAGGGGACAATTGAAAACCGTTCGCTGATTTTAATTATTTATTTCCGGTATTTGCAAGCATGGAAGGATTAAGGCTGGCAATACTTTGTTTGGGTGCTGCCCTTCAACGAATTCAACGAGGCTCAGGGGAGCTACAACACTATCCACTTTCAGGTCTTGTTGAGTGGATCTGTTGGATCGCTTGGGGCTCAACGCGTTACCCCTCAGGGGTGAGAGCCGGTCAGAACTCAGGGATCCACTTGAGAGATACGGAGTAGAGGTCTTGCTTGTAGCTGCTGATTGCATTCGCGATTGAAGGAACATATTGTGAACATTAACCAATATCATCATGATTAATTGTGCTTGCGTAGGGCGAATTCAGGTTGGACAGGTCATATACTAGTCATATACTTAACTGTATGTAGGCTCAGCTACCGGTAGTATTCATGTCAACATCAACAACGTACCTTGCACATCTTGAGATACTAGCAGACAGCCATGTCAATCGAGAAATACCTCTGTTAATCAGAGCACGAAAGAATTTACTATTAGGACTAGTTGTCTACATTCCTCAAAACACTAAACAATTGATTATGAGGGCTGGCTGCAGGAAAAGCACGCTGAGGTGTGTAATTTAAAGTGAAGTGCATTTCGCCCGCATCCCGTCTATGAATCCTAGCTTTTCGTACACGTCCCAGCCTATTCTGCCTGTGACAACCCATCCCTTAATCATGAATTTACAACTTGGCTCCAACGATCTCAGCCCACTTCTCGGTGGAAAAGGACTTGGGCCGCTCAATAGGAGCACCAACTGCGCGGTCGATGATGAGTTGAGGAAGGACACCAATGGCTCTGGAGACACCGAAGAGGACAGTGTAGTAGTTGGCCTCGGTCAGACCGTAGTATTGAAGCAGGACACCAGAGTGGGCATCGACGTTGGGGAATGGGTTCTAAATGGAATTAGCGTATGGTATTGCTAGCATGCCGTGTAAATCTTACCTTGGTCTTTCCGTGCTCAGTCAAGACACCTGGGGCGATCTTGTAGACTTGAGACACGAGCTTGTACATAGGGTCATTTGGAAGGTGGGACTAATGAGAGTATGAATTAGCATAGGGACATGTTTTGACTTTCAATGCAGAGATATGGGCTCAAGAGCTCCATCTTCGAAAGTGCTTACCTCGGCAAATGTGCGTTGAGCCATGTAGCGGGGATCAGTCTTGCGGAGAACAGCGTGTCCATAGCCTGGAACAACCTGGCCAGCTTTAAGGGTAGACCAGAGGTAGTCGGTGATAGCCTTATCGCTGAGGTCGTCACCGATAGCAGCCTTCATCTTGGTGAGCCAGTTCAAGACCTCCTGGTTGGCGAGACCGTGGAGAGGACCAGCAAGACCGTTCAGACCAGCGGCAAGAGACAGCATGGGGGAGCTGAGAGCACTGCCAACCAAGTGGGTGGTGTGAGCACTGACGTTACCACCCTCGTGGTCAGTGTGGATGGTGAGGTACAGTCTCATCAGTTCAACAAAGTCGTGGTTGTCTGCGAAGCCGAGCTGGTTGGCGAAGTTGAAAGAGTAATCCTTGTCCTTCTGGACTGGTGCGACCTTTCCTCCCTTGAAGACATTTTGGTAGATTCTGGCAGCGATAGTTGGGAGCTTGGCAATCAAGTCCATGGAATCCTCGAAAGTGTGTCCCCAGTACTCGCTCTTCTTCATGCCCTTTGCGTAGGCCTTGGCGAATGCAGACTCGTGCTCGAGAGCGTTGACAGCAATGGAGAATTGTGCCATTGGGTGGAGGTCATTGGGGCATCGATCGATGAGCTCCTCGACGAACTTGGGAATTTCGGCGCGGGCGGCCCAATCGGCCGAGAGGTCGCGAACTTGTTGCTCAGATGGGACCTCGCCAGTCAGGAGAAGCCAGAAAAGACCTGGTAGGAAATATTTAGCCAATTTCACTTAGGCAATGACTTATCTCGCCGTACCTTCTGGCAGAGGCTCCTTTCCACCTGGGGCCTTGGGGAGAAGCTCCTGGCATTCTGGAATCGTCTTTCCTCGGAATCGGATGCCCTCCTCGGAATCGAGAACGGAACCTTCCCAGACCAGCGACTTGATTCCACGAGCACCACCGTAAACCTGGTCGAGGGTGACCTCGCCAACCACCTTGGATCCGTAGTCCCTAACACCAATCAGAACTGGAACTGCGAGCACTTGTCTCTTTCCGCCCAGTCATGCTTACTTTCGGAGCTTCTTGATCTGCTCGATCTTCTCTGGCAATTGCTCGGCGAACCGTTCCTTCAGAGTCTGCAAGTCTTGCGTTAGTAATCTCGGCGCCCAGGAGACTCAAGCTCAATAGCATACCTGGGATTTCGAGGCAGAGTAGAACCGCAGGCCAGTGAAGGCTGTGGTTTTAGCGAAAGTTTGAGCAGTGATGGAAGACCGCAAGGCCGAAGAACCAATACGGAGTGCTGAAGACATTATGTATGAGTGAGTAGAGTCGGGAGGGTGCAGGTGGGTGTGCGGGTGCGGGTGCAAGTTGGATTGCTTGTAAGAAAAGAATTTGGGCGCTCGATGGGTGAAAATTCGAGTAGCCTGGCCGCCCGCCGTAGCCGGTGGACTAAAAGTACTAACTGGATAGGTATCTTGTTCAACGCCGAATAGTGGGGCTGGACCTGACGTAGGGGCCAACAGATCCACTCGGTCTCCGGTCTCACCAAATTATGATAGAAAATCCTGCTATCCAGTGATAAGTTAATACCTAGATGGGAAGAGGGATACAGCTTTGCTAACTCTGTACCTTATGTACGGCTATGTCTACGTAGTGAATATTCTTAAAATTTATCTTTCTTTCTCTTCAAGGTACTGTTACTGCACTGCATAGAGGGACCTAGGTAGGTACCGGTACCGGTAGTCGGCGTTATCGGCGTTATCGGCGTAGTCGGCCGCTCCTTCACCTTAGCCAATCACAGGACATATTGCCGATTTCTTTGTGATTAGTTGGAGTGACCTTGCCAAGGCGCTAATAATTGAAGATCTGATCTCCTCACCTTCGAACGTCAAACTCGACCTCCTTCCCAACGCCTTTCCATCCCCATCCCCATCATCGCGAAGAGAGCTTTCCCAAGTTCATACGCTTCTTTCCCTTTACTAATACCAATCTCCTTTCATTCTGTGGTCTCTAACCAGGAACAGCCGCTGCGTGTACTTTTCTTCCATCTGCCGCCTTGTCTCGTCTCGTCGGAATCAAAGACTAGATCCAAAGACTTCAGTTCAGCTTTGTTGGGGGCAAAGGTCTGCCTGTTCATTCGCCTGTGTGGTCGCGTCGCCGCCTACCTTAGTAGTTGCGATTCACTTCACTTTACATTTATTGTAGCCGCTAGTTTTCGAGGGTGAGCTGGCAAACCTCGACCTTAGAAAGTAGACCGATCAGGCCTTCGATCTCTCTTCGTACAACAACAACAACGACAACAACAACAACAAGTTCATCTCTCCGCCTCTTTAACCTGACCAGATCAGAGCTGCCACAGGATCTCTGGGTTAGGTTACTCCGCCATCATGTCTTCTGCCGTAGCAGATCTCGATGCTGGCTTGCAGGCCATGCTGTCCCTGAAACCTCCCGGAGTCTCTGGTTCTCGGATTCAAAGTATCACCACGCTCTGCACTGCGAATGTTCAGGTAAGCTCGCTCTCTATGACTTCCCACTCTCCCCTCCACAGATCGAGGCTAATATGTGCAACCTCACAGTCCGAATCCGTACTCATCCAAAAGCTCTTTACGCATTTCAAGAAGGCCCCCGCAACACACAAGCTTGGTGTGCTATACGTTGTAGACTCCGTAACCCGCAAGTGGACTGAACAAGCCAAGAGCGCCGGACAACCTATAGACAGTTCTGCCCAGGATGGAACTTTCGCTGCTGGTGTGCATAGAGTAAAGGAATTGTTGCCTGTCCTGATGAACGACATAGCCATTTCTGCTCCTGATGATCAAAAGGTAAGCCCACATACACAATGCTCAGTAGTTCGTACGGCTTCAGGCTGCTATGACCTCCGATATGTTACCGAAACGAGATATCTACGCTGTGCATGTTTTCCTCTGCATGAATTCCCACTTACAGTACTCTTTTGTTTTGTAGGACAAGATCAGAAAGCTCCTTGACATCTGGGAGAAGGGTATGACATTCCCTGTGCAAATGCTTGATAGCTTCAAAGAAAAGCTCAACGCGCAAAGTAAGACATCCAGCATCTTCTGTACGGACAGTCTCCTAACCTCACCTTTTTACAGATACATCTACTACCCCTCCAGGAAGCCCACCTCCCGACCTCCAGAAGACTTTCTTTGATCAACCAGCCCCAAACTCTACTTCAGCAGCCCCGGCTCGTAATACTTCCTCGATCTTAGAGGCTCTCGCCAACATGGCTCGTCAAAGCGCAGCAGCTCCAACTCCTCCTGCAAACCCCTACCAACAACCCATGGCTGTGGATAGTTCGTACAATGTATCTTATGGGCAGAATAATACTGCTCAGCAAATTCCAGCGTTGAATCCGCTCCCATTGCCGCTACCATTACCTGTAAACGTGCCAGTCCAAGCGGCCACACAAGGATCGAGTAATAGTGTTCCCAACTATCTCAATAATAACCCATATCCGGCTCCTCCTCCAGTAGCCCCAGCCGTCGATCCAGCTCTGCAACAGCAGTTGCTCTTGATTAAGACACTTGCAGACCAGGGTATGCAAGCTGAACAAATTGCCGGTATCCTTGCTGCTATGGGCCTTAGTGCGGGCGGCTTCCCTCCTGCTCCATCACCATTTGCGGCTCAGAATCCAAATGCTATGGCTCAGAACAGCTGGGCTGCAAATCAATCACGTGATAGAGATGGGTTCGATGAGGCTGTGAGATCTCCACCAGGAGGCCGTTTCGGTCGTTCGCGTTCCCGCTCCCCTAAGCCTGAATGGAACGCTCGTGACTCTCCAGCTACTCGTCGATATGAAGAGCAAAACTCTGAATACGAGAGAGGCTTTCCGGATCGTAATCGAGGCAATGATGATCGTGGACGAGGAGGTCGAGGTGGCCGCGGAAATGACTACCGTCAACGAAGCCCTCTTCGCCGCGCCCAGAGCCCGACTTCACTCAGAACAAACAATGGTTCCCAGAAGTGGATCAGTCATGATTCTAGTATCAAGCCGGGACACATCAAAGGTATGCCCGCAATTTTGATATGTAGAGTAACTTGTACTAACCCTGCACAGTTCTGAGCCGTACTCTGTTCGTTGGTGGTGTCACTGCTTCTGATCATGAGTTGAGAGCTCTCTTTTCTCAGCATGGGCAGGTGCAAACATGCATCGTCAACAAGGACAAACGCCACGCTTTCGTCAAGATGGTCAGCCGCCAAGATGCCGTCGCAGCCAAGGAGGCAATGGAGAAGAGCAGGAGTCCCGAATCGCAATTGAGGGTAAGCTGACTACATCTATCCCTTCCCCCTTACACAATTGTTAACTTTCACAGACTCGCTGGGGTGTTGGATTTGGTCCACGAGACTGCAGTGACTACCAAACCGGCGTCAGCATCATCCCCATCAATGCCCTCACCGATGCCGACCGCAAGTGGATGCTCACGGCCGAGTACGGTGGCACCGGTGGCAAGCCCATGGAGACCGGCATGGTGGTCGAAGAACCCGATATCGAGATCGGCCAAGGCGTCTCCTCCAAAGCCATGAGCCGCCGCATGCAAACCGACCAAGCCGGCAACAACGGTCCCAAGTCCACCCGCAAGCACCCTGAGGACAAAGACGAGCACCCTCGCTTCCGTCGAGGAGGAGGCCATCGCAGAGATGAGGGTCGCAAGGAGAGCAAAGTCAGTGGACCGCCGGCTATGCCTCCTATCCCTCCGTTTGGCATGGCAGGCTTCCCGTTCAGTATGCCGAATGGAATGCCCATGCTTCCTCCGGGATTCCCTGCCTTCCCTGGCTTCCCGGGTGCGCAAGAACAAACCCCGCAACAACCTCCACCACCTGGAAATCGTTCTTGAGAGGCAAACAACCTAGGACGAGGCTTCTTTCACCCGACGGACTCGACGATTCTGATAAGAGAGACTAGGTTTGCCGAGGACGAGGCTCGATCAAGTGAATCTATGGAGTCGTTTAAACGGACCTTCTCCTCTATCTCCACACCTCCCGATTTCTCTTTCATCGATCGGATTTCTTTTTCTTCGGCACCCACTGACATGCATGGCGACGGCGTTCTTGCATTTACGATACCCACACATATGGGTACCTCGACGGGGGATCTTGGGACTTGGGACTTAATACGCACTGCGAAACGACATCCGACTTGGGAATCCTCCTCTGCATACACGTTGCTTTTCTTTTCAAATTCCAAGCGTCTCTTCTATAAGAAGGGAGAGGTTCACTACTACCGGACCACCAAGCTCAGGAAGGGTACACCGTCCAATTTTCGGGTTAGTTCTATCTACTCTTGCGCTTTCTCGCTCTCTGGGGGGTGGGAGAGGGAGGAGGGAGGTAGGGGCGAGAGGCGATGCCAGAATGTATTTTACATAAGCAATCAATGAACATTGACCGCATACATTTCTTTTGCGTTGTGATTTGTGACTATGCCATATATGTTTTGATTACACGCTGTACCTGGACGGCATGATAACTGATTGACTGTTTCCGTGACACCAAGCTTACAGGGGCTATTCTCTCAGACTCGAATCAAGCCTGCCTGCATGAATTCATCATTGATCTGTTTAGGAGTTATTGATACTAAGAATTGAATGGAATTAGGAAATGCTAAACTAAAATAAAGTAAAATATAAAATAAACATGAGCTCTCATCTCGTCTCGCACCCTGTAAATTTCCTTAGCCACTGCCTCGAGTCCCTCTATTACCACGATCTCACCTTCTTTCACTCCAGCCTAGCTATCCACCGAATTACAATCCCCATTCCACCTACTCGTCCCACTCATCCCATTCACCCCATTCACCGACTCAAGCTTCGGTCTATGATCCAATTAGTGTGTGTATTCCTCAGAAATCATAGAAGCTCCAAACGGGTACAGTACTAGGCAACTGCTGTTGGCCACTTAAGCGAGAATATCAAAGTCAATTTTAAATATATCCAGCTATCACTTCTTGTTTGCGTAATGAATACAAATGTAAATCAAATAGAAATAATTCCATTCGATTCCTTAGATCACTTTTATTTTTTGTAATATTCAGTTTAATTATTCGAATGCTTACTGACCTTAATACCTACCTTATGCTAGCTTTTAGCCGCGATACATGCTTTAATTCTACCCGGCATACTTTTATGTAAACTAACTATCGAATAACAACAAGTTTAATTTATCTTTCGCAGCTTATAAACAATTTCTTCATCTTAGGCTTTACGTGATTTGAATTCTATTTATCGATCCCACTGTCGGAAAAGCTTTTTTTTCAGATGCTATCAAACGTGCTCGATCGGAGTAAAGGCGAGAGGATAAATTAACTATTTAATTAATAAAATATTTTGTTTCTCCCGAATCATTGTCGAAACTATTATGCTATGTAGATCGAAGCTTTATTTTATTAAAATTAACATTTGCGCTGCAATTTTCAAAAAATTGGTTTAATTTTAGCTTCGAAGATCTCGAAATAAGAGTATTCTAAATACTTATGTTTTTTCGATTTAAAACCTCGATCTATGATATGGATTCGGTTATCGGACGATAGATACAATTTCCGTTAATCGGCTTTCGATATAAGTTCATTTTCGTTGCACAATACTACTCGCTTTCGAGTATAATTAATCTTGCCGTAAAGCTTTCTAGAAGCCTTCGCGATAACGACTGGATTTGCATCGAAAGCAAAGCTATTTATCATCAATCTTTGTTAAAAAAAAATTTTTAAAAAAAAAATTTGATACTAAGAATGCATACTACTGAAATTCGGGGCAAAAAGAATGCGTTAAAGTAGTATTTTATAGTTGTTATAAGAGGATGAAAAACGCGTATCGTGAAAAATCGCGGTCTTGTGCTTTTCGGCTAACCTGGGGAAAAGCCGAAATCCAAGCCGGAATACAACTTGGAGCACAAGCAGAAAAGGAGCAGGAATACAGGTAGCAATACAAGCAGGAAAACAAGTAAGCAAGCTCACAGTACAACCGATGTATTGAAATACAGAATTTGGCGTGATTAAGACACTACCTCTCAGCTGAGATCCAGCTTTTTCCTTTCTCTCTCTTGGTCTTGTTTTCTCTTCTTCGCCAATGATTTTTTTTTATCATTTCCTTGACCTGATAGGCTCTTCCCTCCTGTATAAACAAAAATGTCGATGTCGATGTCGATGTCGATGTCGATGTCGATTGCTTAGCGAAGGTTGGCTGGCTTCTACCTACTCACCTACGTACGTATGGGCTTTGCTGGCGACGAGTGGATTTACAAGAATGGCATGTGTTGTAGGGGATGTACGTATCTACCTGATTGGAAAGGTAGAGGACAGTTGCGGATGAAATGGATGGAAGTTTGAGGTTTGGAGGTTGGGGGCTTGGAGCTTGAGCTTTGGAGTACTGTTGATTGTAAGGGTGAGGAGGGGAGAGAGGTATGATTCGAACGAAAGATGTGTATTATGTTTCTTCTGTAAAGAACGAGAAAGGGGAAAACTATACAGACTGTCCACGACATTTCCTTAGTACTGAACTGTGCGGCCTGATTCATCCGTACTGTACTAGGATATTAATAGGGGGATATATGTCCTTGCAGGGGAAGGAATACATATTAGCGGCTCTGCTCCGTATGACGGGTTTACTTGCTTCTTTTGTGGCAGTTAAAAATGTAGCATAACTAACCAGATGGGTATGGTTTGGTTATGGTTCATAGAGCTAGCTCAATGATCGGTGCAGCTCGGGTAAACGTCTCATCTAATCTCGTCGCTAGGAGCTCAAACTTGGATATGGTGGTGAGTTTGATTGTGCTGAGGAAGGTAATCAAGTCAAGCCCTGGCTTCACTGAACTAACTCCCTTGTGTGCACTGTGCTGGTAAATCCACTCAACCATGCATGTCTACTTACACGCAACACCTCACCCACGGTTGCCACACTATCGCCAGAAACGACCTGAACAAGAATTCATATCGAATCTATTTCGATTTCATATGCTACCAATAAGAAGGAAGACCGAGAGCATATCTCGCCGGAAACGATGCCCATTTTGCGTAGCTAAGTGACCCGGAAAAAAAAGTAATGTAGAAGAATAACGCTTCTAGGGGATATCCACCGATGAGACCGGCCCCTCCACTAATATTTAGGAAAACGCCTCAGCCATCTAAAAATGCCTCTAAAACGAGTCTGGCCACCAAATGCAGCATCGCAGGAATACCACCAGCGCCACACATCTACCTTCCAGTCTACCTCGAGCCCAGACCTAATCAACAAGCATCATACCCCTTCTAGCCATCTCTATTCTGCGCTCCCCCAGTTCCAGCGCCGGGTAACGATCCCAACGGATCGTAATACTCATAAACCTTATTCTTCTTCGCATTGCCCTGTCCCTTCACAGCGGGCGCCACGAACGTCGAAACCCCCGTCGTGCGATCATAGCTGCGATAGGACGTGGCGAGGCGTTTGCCGCCGCCACCAGGGAGGTCGACGACGAATTGTGGAGTCATGAAGCCGGCGATGGAGCCACGAAGCTCGCATTCGAGGTCGAGGATGGTTTGGAGAGGCGTGCGCAGGTCTTCGACGCCTCGGACGAGGTCGCCTGCGTAGACGTAGTACTGTTGGTTTAGAGAAGTCAGGGCATTGCGGACGTTAAAAGATAGGAAGGTGGAATGATGGGAGGAGAAGGGCGCATATTTACGGGAATGATGTTGTTATTAGCCAGTTCACGGATTAAATTCCCCATTGTCTCGGCAGAGTCGTTGACACCCTTCAGGAGGACGCTTTGGTTGCGGACTACGACTGCTTCTTGGTGGAGTTTCTGGGCGGCTTCGCGGGTTACCCAGGAGAATTCTTGAGGGTGGTTGAAGTGCGTGTGTAGGGCGATGTGGACACCTCGCTCGCGGCCGATGTTCGAGAGACGGATGAGCCTATTAGAAGTCAGTTGGTGTCTGAACAATGTTTCTACTAGTGATTTTCGGACAGGGTTCGATGGCCTCCAAAGTAAACAACAATTGTGCAATCGCTTATAGTGGAGAGGTGCGTACATATTATAATAGATGGCACTTACTCATCAGTCCAGTCGTCATTAGGATCCAAGGTACGAGAGGGAGACACGCAAAGGCCTTTGGTAGCAATGCGAAATCGACGAACATGAGGAATTGAGAGTAGGCGATCACCGATCATGCGTAAATGCATTCCTGCAAGTGAATAAGAGTCTCCTCCGGATATGACCACATCCTGAATGATCGGTGTGGCAGCAATGTAGTCGAGCATTTCATTCCAGCGAGCAAGTTTCGGCTTCAAAGATGCTTTCGTGACAGTCTCTGTGTCGGCACCGACAGCGTACGAGCGAGTACAGTACCGACAGTAGAGGGGGCAGTGAGAGCTTGCTTTTTATTTGTCAGTAGAAGTGCATTGCACGCAGTGAACCTGACGTACCTAAGAAGAGACACTTGTCGGTGTATCTATGCACCAACCCCTCACAAGGACTGTCTCCGGTCTCGTGGAGGGAGTCTAGGGTGAGTTTGGGGTGATCGGGCTGAAAAGTTGACTTCTTGGGGATGAATTGGCGACTGAGCGGGTCACCGAGGGGGTTGTTCCAGTCCATGCTGGCGAGTATGTGGGGGGTAAGGCGGATGGACATTGGTGCTAGTGCAATGCCGTCCATGACATCGAGGACGAAGGCTTCTCGGCTTGTCGTGTGGCCTTCTTTACCAGGGATAGGGACGTGCTCGGGTATGACTTCATTAAGGAATTGGTATAACTTCATCTTTCCCTGGACATCTTTGGCTATCTGGTCTTGCCGTTAGCATGGATTTGCATATTGTTGATCGGTCTCGGGGGTTGCTTACGTTCCATCTGTATGATAGGAACTGCTCTTCAGTGACATCTTCCCAACGGCGTATCTTTTGCCAATAGGGAATTCTTTCGAATTTCGAGCCATGGTGATAGACTGGAACTGTTCTAGCTTCGGGGTAAGGAATACCATGGGTGAAATCAATGCCGTTGTATACCGGCTGATCTTGTGCTGGAGAGAAAGCGAGGGCAACTTGTCCGTGACGACTTGGCGCAGACTGAAGTTGCCGGGTTGCTGCTGGAATCGACAGAGGTGATCGTGACACGGTGTATTGTTGACCAGTTCTCCATCGCCAGAGACTTCTGATCGTTGACTTCGATCCGAGTGAAGCCATTGTGATGCAATAATAGAGAGAAATGAAGGCTTTCTACGGATATGCATAAGAGAGGAGGTAAAGAGAAAGTTGAGGAGTAAGAGCTTATATAAAATAATTTAGTGCCATATCGTTGTGAAGCCAGAACTGGAGCGATCAAGGGATTTCAAACAGACAGATCAATTTGGGAAGCTGTGTAGCGCCAATCCAACTCGATCCATTGCGAACGGTAGAGGAGAACCACTTCATCTGAGTAGCCATATATTTATTCAGTCAAGCAGAAGATATATTCATTCTCATTCTCGGCAGTCCTTGGAAGCTTGGCTCCTCTCACCTTTCGCGAAAATTGAGCAACAACAAGCTCGTTGATCGGTATTGAATTTACGTGCTTAAGCAGGGGTATGAATTACCAGTCCAACAAAATTCTTTGCATCCAGCGAATGAGCGTCCGAAGTTGGAGCATGACCTGGTCCTTTGGGCTTCAATTAATCAATTGACGTGATGGTCTGCTTGTTGAATAGTGAAATCCCGTTGGTTGTTGATGGTGATTGGCAAGGGGAAGGTAGGGCATACGTTCATACAGGTGCTGCTAGCCTAGGTCTTCTTTCAAAATCCCGTTCCGGCTTGCCTTTTTCACAAGGCCAATCGCATAGTATTGCTCGTCAAGGCGACCAGGTCTTACTTTGCGAGGAATCGAGCATTGCCGCCGTCTCGACCAATGGAATCATTTCAGATGTTGGAATATCAAGAAAACAAACAATTGGATCTTAACCGCCAAGCGAGGTTCGTTTGGAAAGTTGCTATTACCACCAACTGACCAGGCGTATATGCTGTGCCACTCGAAGTGGAAGCCTCGCGAGTAGAAAGTGCAAGGCTGAAGATTCTGCATTGGCAACAGACAGATCGATACCGCGGCTGGAGTAACCAGTAAAGTCAAAGTCACAGGAAAGGGGCTAGCAGGGCTGTTGGTTAATCAAAATGTCGTGATGGAACGGGTCAGATCAGATCACCGCATTCACTGGTACTTTTACCAGGTAAACGTTTCTGCTGTGGAAACCTCCGTCACGCCTGTTCGCCTTAAAGGGGGCTCGACCAGTAGTGCTGTAGCAAATTCCTGCAAGTATGAAAGGATACCTATTGTATGATGATTCGCGTTGCTGGAAGGCTCGAGCGATATGACAAGACAAAAAAGTATCCCCCCCCCCCAAAAAAGGCAGAGGAGAGGATAGCCAGAGATTCCGAGCATCACTAGGCGTCGGTCGCTCGTTGACGGAAGGCATAACAACATCCCTCGATGAGAGGCCCATAATTTATGGACTGCACGATTATCTGGCCATGTTTTGTCGTACATGACGGAAACAAATCTCGATGTATGACATGATCTCCGAACCAAATTGTAAGCCTCCCCATGTGCGTTGTATTGGGGCTCTTTCAAAACCAAACGACAAATGGCCAAGTCGTAAACTGCTTTGGTATTTCTCTGCATGAGCCTCAAGATATTCGAAAGTGCATTTCTTGTTGAGTGAATGTTCTTGCTAGGGTGAAGCGATGACGGCAACAAAAATTATGACCCAAACCAACACTGTCGCTAAGATAATGTTGGATATGACCAACAGACGCCGCGGTAAGCAAGCGAAGGATTCCAAGCAACTTTGGCTCGTGACAACAGTGCTTCCCACATCGGCGAAATGGCTTGGTCAAATAACCTTTCACACGATGCTGGATAATGGCGTAGTCTTTTCCACGGGTCGTACAAAGCAGAAAGGAAAATCGCAGGAATCCAAGATGCGCATAATCGAGGCAAGCACATTACTCCGCTTATATTATCACAAAACACATTGGAGGAAACACATATCTGAAAAGACTTTGGCACGCAGTTGTAAGACCGAGCTGGTCAAGCCGGAGAGGATACCTGATGCTCCATCGGTGACTCCGTTATCATTCGAGGACCACAGACATCGAATACGATGCAGAAAACGAACAAGCTGAAAGCGGGAAGCTGTTCCAGGCTACAAATAGCTTTCAGCTGAAGTGGTAAAGCAGTATGGACATCGATGAGATTGAGCAGCAACTGAAGAAGAGGCCGAGAGTCCTTCATACAATCTCATGCCACGTGACTTTACAGACAGGTGACCAGCGTACAGAAGATGAAGACTTAAAGGTGAGGCTCTGTTTTTCGAATAGCCTCATCTTTGGCTGACGAAGGTGAGTTGGAGAAGTGGAGGGAAATGCTCCAAACTGATCATCACTCGATTACAATGAATAGCTAGGCCTCCAGATGGGCCACTGAAGAAATTTCGGCAAAACACGGCTGGTGAACCCCGTCTTTACACGTGACTTAGCGCCTCTAGGTCATTTTCCGCTCGCTCCAAAGATGGACACTTCAATTCCTCCAGTGACCATCATACACCACCATCGCCTCTCCCCTCTACTCATCAATTGCCTGTGTAGCAATTGATTCTCCATATTCTCCTTTACACGCAGATTGTGGTCGTCATGTTCAGAAACGCTCTCCGCCAGTCCAGCCGGTGCGCCGTCGCTGCGTCGAGCAGAGTCGCTGCAGTACGTACCTACCCTACCCCGACCGGCGACTCAGTTCTTCTCCAGCTCGTCTGCAATTAATTGAGGTCAATCGGTGCTTTGATACCAAGCCCAATTGGTGCATTCAGAGGTTGCATGGCAGTAAATTTCGACGGTGGAGAGCTGTCTGGCAAGCTTCAACAGCTTGCCTGCGCCTTCAACGTTTTTCAGGTCTTGGCTAACGTGCTGTTGCTCCTCAGGGACGAACTGCCACACCCGCTGCTTTCAACGCATTCCGAGGCTACGCATCAGAAGCAAAGGCATCCCCTACCGAAGTCTCTTCGATTCTCGAGCAAAGAATTCGTGGTGTACAAGAGGAGTCCAGTCTTGCCGAGACTGGCCGTGTACTGTCCGTCGGGTATGTCGCATCGTCATCACAGTCGCTCGGGACGCGCTAGATATACAATACAATATGGTTTGCTGTAAAGGGAACAGATAGCTGACTGGCACTCACAGTGATGGTATTGCCCGTGTCCACGGCATGAGCAATGTGCAAGCTGAGGAGCTTGTTGAGTAAGTAGCTCCGGATCTTGGAGTCTTATACAAATGCTTCGGATGCTGATCATAACTAGGTTCGCCTCCGGTGTCAAGGGCATGTGCATGAACCTGGAAGCTGGACAGGTCGGTGTTGTGCTCTTCGGTTCTGATCGTTTGGTCAAGGAGGGTGAGACCGTGAAGCGTACCGGAGCCATTGTGAGTATACTGAAGACAAGTTTGACTGGCACACACTGAAATACTATAGGTTGACATTCCCGTCGGGCCTGAGATGCTCGGCCGTGTCGTTGATGCTCTCGGAAACCCAATTGACGGCAAGGGCCCAATCAAGACTACCGAGAGGCGTCGTGCTCAAGTGAAGGCCCCTGGTATTCTCCCCCGTCAATCCGTCAACCAGCCAGTACAGACTGGTCTCAAGTCTGTCGACGCCATGGTTCCGATTGGACGTGGTCAACGTGAGTTGATCATTGGTGATCGTCAAACCGGAAAGACCGCCGTTGCCCTCGATACCATGCTCAACCAAAAGCGATGGAACAACGGAAACGACGAGTCCAAGAAGCTCTATTGTGTCTACGTCGCCGTTGGACAAAAGCGATCCACCGTTGCCCAGCTCGTCAAGACCCTCGAGGAGAACGATGCCATGAAGTACACCGTAATTATCGCTGCCACCGCCGCCGAGGCCGCTGTGAGTTCACCTTTCCCCCCCAAGCAGGCGAGAAGCTGACTTGAACGAGCCCCTACAATATTTGAGTTGCTTTACTGGTGAGTTCACATCTTTTCATTCTCGTATTCGTACATTCTACATCTCAATAGCATACACGCAAGGCGTGGGTGCTGTTCACCTTTCGAGGTCGGGGCTGCCCCGCAACTCGTGGGTGCTCCTTCCTTCCCAGACGGGTGACACTGCTCTCGCCCCACGATCTGTAGACATTGTGGCCTCTTCACATCTAACTGGATCCCTCTGGCGTCTCACTGGACTTCACTGGACCGCTGCCATCATAGTCCTCGATCTTTCGATGTTTTTCGTTTCCTTATCACGTTTTGTTTTCGTATTTTACTTTTATTATTTTATTATGTGTGGTGGACTTACTAACGTACTCAACTTTTCAAGGCTGCACGATAGGTGAATGGTGAGTAGGCCCAAGCCATCTGTCTTCTGCATCATCAACTGACTAATGTGTAGGTTCAGAGACAATGGCAAGCATGCTCTTCTGGTACTCGATGATCTTAGCAAACAGTATTTCCCCCTTGTGCTGTTAACAGAAGTTTCTTCCTGACAACCTGCAGGGCCGTCGCATACCGTCAAATGTCCCTGCTTCTCCGTCGCCCTCCCGGACGTGAGGCTTACCCCGGAGATGTTTTCTACCTCCACTCCCGTCTTCTCGAGCGTGCTGCCAAGATGGGCAACAAGCACGGTGGTGGCTCCTTGACTGCTCTTCCAGTCATCGAGACACAGGGTGGTGATGTGTCCGCCTACATCCCAACCAACGTCATCTCGATTACCGATGGACAAATTTTCTTGGAGGCAGAGCTCTTCTACAAGGGTATCCGACCTGCGATTAACGTCGGTCTTTCCGTCTCTCGCGTCGGCTCCGCTGCCCAGCTCAAGGCTATGAAGCAAGTTGCCGGCTCCTTGAAGCTTTTCTTGGCCCAGTACCGTGAAGTCGCTGCTTTCGCTCAATTTGGTTCCGATTTGGATGCTGCCACCAAGCAAACCCTGAACCGTGGTGAACGTGTAAGTGTCGATGTCTTCAGCTATCTGGGCACTGCAAAGCTAATCATGAAATTTCTACAGTTGACCGAGCTCCTGAAACAAAAGCAATACTCCCCAATGGCTGTCAACGAAATGGTTCCCCTCATCTACGCCGGAGTCAACGGACATCTCGACTCCATTCCAGTCGCCAAGATTCTCCAATGGGAGGCTGACTTCCTTGCACACTTGAAGACGAACGAGACTGATCTGTTGGCCACGATCGACAAGGAAGGTGCGTTGAGCAAGGATTTGGAGGCAAAGTTGAAGGGAGTTATTACCACTTTCACCAAGTCCTTCAACTAGAGAGAAAATTATGTTAGCTAACGCTACCTCATCTACCTTCTCTTTTGTTCTGGCATGGTGGGGTGTGTATTGAAAGGGGCCCGATGGAGGGAAGGTTGATAGCTGAGGGGCTGTGTAAAATAGATAACCGTCGATTCTTCCCCAATTTGAGCCCCCTTAAGATTTTCCGCTTGCTTTCTCTGATCACCAAACGAGCCCTGATCTGTTACCTGTGTTCTTAAAGCAGGAATTCGTGAAAAGTCTTAGAGTCCTTTCCCTGTAGTGAGCTTGTCGTCGAGCTGTTTACCACTGGGTCAATTTTGAATTTTTGGAATATTTGCAAGTATACAATTTCATGTCACGGTGCCGGCATGGGCACAATGATATCTTGGCTTCACCCTACCCCCAGATATTGTAGTTTCTTTATCCAGGTCAGGTCAAGTCCAGCTCTTCCTGGGTTTTCCCCCAATATTTCTACTCATCCGCGGTCACTTTAGATCGGTGTCGTCAAGGTTGTGTGGGCATTGCATCCACTGCCCGTCACTCCACAGGAAGTATAGAAATCGAGATGAAAGTCTAGAAACCGCGTCGCCAGTGATCTCACCCGCATATATACGTTACGGACCAATCAACCTTGTACCTCTTAGTGTCAGGACTTTTTATAACATATTAAACAACATAACACCCCAAGTCCAGGCCCAACCTTTAATAAAGCCAGAACAGCCAGATCACAGGTACGGTACATTTTACATCCACCCGTTAACCTCACCTCACCTCAAGCCTACTGATACCCTACCCTGCCTAGCACTGCACTGCATACTCTTTTACAATAGAGTATATATCCCAAGCAAGCAGGCAGTATACATAGCATAGCATGCTATGATATCATCGAATAAAAGGTTTTCAAATCTCGCATAAGCGAGAGCTGTAATTAACTGTCAAGAAACTGCAGAACGTACCATATCCGCTCAGCTTCTCCTTCCGAGCCCAGAGCCAGCCAACTAACTCACCTCGGGAACCTGACTCTAAAAGCTTTGCAGTGTCATCCCTCTGCTAAGCGGAATGGAGGCTTCCTACCTGCTTCCTTCCACGCTCGGGCTCAGGCTCCAAGTAAAGTCGCTCAGCAGACAGGATTTCTAGTACTTGACTCGCATCCCTTGCTACCGACCTGTCTCTTCCGCAGTACCCGTCACCTTTTTAGCTTGCGGAGTGGGTGTGATCGATATGTATCGTTCAGGATTTTTCCAGTTAGACCTCGGGGGGTTGTTTGCTCATGACTCCGGCTTGATTCGTGTAGCCTTCACACGCGCATTACGAATTCACTGAAGTCAAGTCGCAAGTGAAATCCGCAGGGGTAGAGTCAATTGGAAGGAGGTGGGTGGCAGGGTCAGCGGGCAGGAGCAGGATATCATGGCAAAAATCAGACGATGCGAAACGGCAATCTTCTCTAGCTTTCTCCAATACGAAAAGACTAAATCAGAAAACAAAATTTGTGTTCGCAGTCCTTATTCCTTGATTACAGGCAGTGCAATGTATGTGTCATCGGCAATCGCTCTCTTCCCTTCCTCCCACCGAGCAGAATCGCGAAGAGGAAAGAAGACATTAAAGTCAAAATATGAGCCGATTCTTCAAAGCAATCGCTAACGGAATTTAACAACGCCAGAGACATCATGTGTTATCGGAAGAGCTGCCATTCAGTGCGATCCATCTCCCTGAGAACGGACGCTGAAACCGGAGGCGGGTATCGCAGAATATGCAATCGTAAATCTTCCTCCGTCATCATTATCGTGATCGTAATCGTATGCTCTGCGATGTCTATTGTGGCCTCGCCGCAGAGTCTGTATGTGACAAAAGAAAATGTAAGCTGACAGGTGTTGTTGAAGTTCGTATTATCATGGCGCTCGTATGCGAATCAAATTAGACGCGTAGGTCGACGATGCGCAGGAAATATCTCAAGAGTGGACAATCGGAGCATGGCCGCCTGGACCGATGCATAGTAAAATGGCGTGCTTGAAGCAGTCGCGGAGACACGACAATTCCATCAAACCAGCTAGCCCTCTACACAGAACCATTGACGTAAGAATCCAGATTTCTTCTATGACAGTGGACACCAGAAGGACCATCTCTTGCTGTAACGTGATTGGGCTCGTCTGCCGGAGTGCATGGTGAGGTATCGCTCATTTGCGCATCTCCCATCAGGATTCTCTCTAGGGCGAAGGCGAACGCGTAGAGCTTGTGGGAATCAACGGCCGAGATTTTATTGACACCTTGAGAAATTTCGGAGTATCGGAGGGCAACCATCACAATCCCACAAGTCTCCTGACCAGGTGGACCATCCGCGGCCATGAGGGGAATGAAGTTACCAGACTGGTAGCCACTACTCTGGCAGGTCATCCTCGAACTGGAGTACGGGTGAACCTTCGATCGAAGGCCAGCAAGCCAAACTTCCGAACTGAACTCAATTCCCATGGTGTCTCCGTAGCCGGCTTTGAAAGTTGTGACGAGGCCGTTCGGAGCGAGAAGTTCTTCTTCGGTCATAAGTTGGCGCATTGGGCGAATCTCAACAGCGTACAGAAGATCGTAACCATGGACCTGTGCATGTGCTGTGCAAGCAAGCTTTACCTCTTCTAGGACCTCCTTGGTGTCGTAGGGGAGTGGTTGATTAACCGGTGGGGAAGAGAAACTTCTTTTCGACTCTGATTGAGACTCCACATAGCTGCCCGTTACCTCCTGGGCTCCTTGCCGGGATTTTTGAATCACATGAGGAGGAGGTCCGTACTCAATCAGAGGACTGCTTGAATTTACCGAGAACCGATATGCAATTGGGGACGGTGACAGTTCTTGACGTGTCATGCTGGAGCCAACACCAGAGCTGCTGACGTGGCCTGAAGATAGATCCTCTCCATCTGAAGATCGACCAAAACCTACCTGCTGCGCACGCATCTTGGCCTTCGAGAACTTGCTATCAACTCTAGGTTCTCGACGATGCGAGCGAGCCGACGAGTACTCTACAGACTCGACTGTCCTTCCTTTGCGTTTGTCACGACCAGCATGTTCAGCAGGAGAAGCATGGTCGCCGAATTGTATCGACTCATAACGTTCAGCAAAATTCCGAGTAGTACGCTTCACGAAGTCCACCTGGGTGAGCTCGAACCTCGGATTTGTAGAGTAATCCTCACTCCGAAGAGAGAAGTCTGGCGTATTAGGTGGATGGGGATGAAGAGAAGTTAGATCTGACGAGGAGAAAGGACGTGGGGTGGGGTTTCCGAAATCGCCATAGGAATGGCTTCGGGGGAGAGAGTCCTTGTCCTGGGTTATCTCGCTCGAATCGTCTTCCGACAATGGTGGTGTCTGCTCGAGCGGAGTCAGGGGACACAGATTGGAATCATGGTTCGGTCCAGAGATGCTAAGTTGGGTCTTTGATTTCTGGTAACTGAGAGCGGGTGGTACCAGCTCAGATTCTACCCCAGTCAAACTCATGACGGACTTCACCTTTGGCATCTGAGGAATCTCGATGTCTGAGTCTCGGTCGAGAAGAGGAGTTGTACGGTAGCTCCGCTGTCTCTGCAAGTTGAGATCTGCCATGAACCTGACGCCGAGATCTGCGAGTGATTGACGCTGCAAGTGTGTGAAGAACGTCCGTGGACGCGACGAAAAGATGGAAAAGACCCCTAATACCTGACCACAGGGAGACATCATAGGAGCACCGGCAAAGAATCGAACGTTGGGTCTTCCAATAACGAGAGGATTACCCGCAAAGCGCCAGTCCTTCGGCTGTCAGCTCGATTCTATACATAAGGAAGCCTCGATCTTACCTGTCTAGTATCAAGTACCACGAGTACGTTCTGTGAGAGCAAGCAATGGGCGGCAATGCTCTGGTTGCGAGGGACATGTGTTTGGCTGTATCCGCGTTCGGCGTAGAAGATCTCTCCGATCTCGTCAAAGAAGCTCACTGACACACATTTGGTGGCAAAGATTTTCATCGCATCTCGGATGATTGAGGATGCAGCTTCTTGATTCCAATTTCGCCAGAGAGGATCGTATTTGTCTGCCGTGTGCAACCGAACACTCTCACTCGGGGGCATGACGGAAGGCAGATACTGAAATCCAGGTTTGAGCGGTGGGTGGGGTGGGGGATTGCTCAAATTGTACCGACCCTGGTAACAAGTCAGCGTTGTGTTAATTCTCGAAGAAACTCATCATTGGAGAGAAGTGGTAGTTGAATCTTACCTCGGAGTAACAGCGCATGTATTCTCTCCAATCTTCAAAATGAGCATCGGCTGCGCAGATCTCCCGGATGGTATCCTCGACTTCATGGAATCGTTGAATCATGACCCGATCATCAGATTGATTCGGTTGCTCCTCGGAGCTACCAAGACCTGAATCCAACAGGCCTCCGTGAACAAGCGAGCTTCCAACAATCTCAGGATAAGACTGAGCAGGTGGAGAAGCAAATGCCATCATACTGAACACTCGGTCTGTTTTGCCCTCAAGCATTCTAGCTGCTTCACCTCTGTGCCGAGCAATGGCGATGGCAGAGAGAGGGGCGTCTGGATCATCCTCGGCGGTGTTTCGTCTCGGAATCCCGACAGCGAGGTCAAGGCGAGCCTTCAGTTTTGGACATTCAAGAGGGCGGACAGCTCCAGAAGGGAACAGGGCGTGTATTTCATCATCTTCTGCATCCTCTTGAGACTCTCTGACCAGCCGTGACCCACCTTCCAAAGAGTTCTTGTACGGGTCAGCCGCAGTCGATCTCTTGTTAGAATCAGTAGATGATCTTCCAAGACACTTCAATTTGGTGATCATCTGCATTGCAGCTCCGGGTTTCTTCTCCTTCTTTGCAGCCTCCTCTTGTTGGACCACTGGCTCCTCTGGAAGTTCCTTCTCCTTAGTCCTGGGAGGCAATGGCAACGGACCTGCTTGCAGGAATTCGATCAGACCTGGAGTGATAAACGGGCTCCGGTACGCTTCGTTGCGAGCTTTTCTCTTGGACTCGCTAGCACCATGTGTAATGTTGGAGCCGTACTGGTCTAAGCCTTGGCCATCCGAATACTCGAAGAGCTTCTCGTCCATAGTTGCCAGTAGACTAGATCGACTAGGTGATGAAGTAGAATAGATTGGAGATGTTCTTGACGGTTTTCGTTTGAAAAGATCTAGGCCTGTTTACCCGCGATCCCTTTGAAACAGATGAGTCCTAACAACATATAAATCTATGGAACGATACACATTAGCAAAAGCTTGCACAAAGGGCAATTGCAAAGACGTGAGATGTGAGATGTGAGAGCTGATAGAGCTCGATTGGCAAGACCTAGCGCGCAAACTTACGTTGAGATCGAACTGGGAAAGAGTGGGAAGTCGCATCAAAGTCGGGCGCGCGGACAGACACAGATTGTGGCTACGTGCGTTGGATAAGGACTTCAGACGGCAAAAGGTCTCCAGCGTAGACAAAGATCGATCGCGTTAGAGTGGCTCGAGGATGGTTGTCGTTTGGTAGAGTTTGAGAAATCGAGGTTAAGTGCGAAGGAAATAGCTGCCTTCCCCGACTAGCGTGGATTCTGGGAGATCGAAGGGTGAAGTGAACAAAAATCCGAGGTCCAGACGAGCGGGGAGGCGGAGAAATTGAGAAGTTGATAAGGTGAGAGGATGAGAGAGGATGAGAAGGTGTGAAGGTGAGAGGTTGTGGTGAAAGTGAGAGGGTATGAAGGTGGGAGGGTGTGAAGATGTGAGGATGTGAGGGTGTGAGAGGGCGGAAGACTGGAAGTTCAATGAGCAGAAGTTGAGTCCAGGTTGGGTTGTTGGGGTTCACCTTCGCGACTTCCTCTACGAACACGACGGAGGGGGGGGCCAACCTCAAGCGAGAAAGGGCAGAAAGCCGAAAGCGGAAAGCGGAAAGCATAAGGCGCTAGGAATATAAAAATGAAGAAAATGGAAGAGAGACCAGAGGAGCCAGACATGGCCAACAGAGCCGCCACGCGCGCATCAATCAATCAATCAATCAATCAGATATTGCCATGCTACGCGATGCCATGGTCACGTTCATGGTCACGGTCACCGTTGCAACACAACGAAGCGATTCCCGTGCGTCAGGACCTTCGTCTTCTCTGCATGCGGCTTCATGTGGTGATGCTGGCCGGAGGACTGACTTTCTCTTCTGGCTGGGACACACAAGCACACATGCGGTGCCTCGAAGCACAATGACGCGAATCATTCGATCGCAATCACAGGCTCTAAGAACAACTCGAATGAAACGCGGCGGAGGGCAGCAATTTATATGTAGAGTATCTTCAAGGGAAGTGTAGGATGCGGCGCAGTGACAGTTGGCATATCATATATGAGCCGAGACAGGACTACTAGCAGCGACACGGGCCTAGCTTCCAGCAAGCCTATCTAAGCACTGCCATTCGTTCACCTACTGTTTGTTCACTTGAGTTTTCCGCCAAAGCGGATGCCGATGGACCTCTCAACAGTTGACCAGTTGCAACGCAGTAAAGAGCTGCATTGGGGAGAGCCACCACAAGGGCAATTCCAAATCCGAAATCTGGGGAACGAAAAGAGGACAAGGACAAGGACAATGAGAATGACAAGATATCCGAGTTGCTATACGAACTCACTCGAGCCGAGCCGAGCCGAAGAGACGGCTTAGTGCATTGGTCACGTCCAGGCACGCACCGCAACGAGCCGCACCGCGCACCATATCCCCGGAACTTCTGGAGCAGGGCTGCTTCCTCCAAAACATCTTCCCACCTGCCATACACCACCTGAGGAACTGCTGAGGATTGCGCTGTGCGGTATGCCCATCTTATCCCATACCATACCGTCGTATCGAAATGAATGTACCGTCCTCATGTCTCGTTTCAAGACAAGAAAAAAGAAGCCACCGAAGAATTCGAATTCTTTTCTTTCTGTGACACTTTCTTCATTCAGCCTGGGCGACGACGTTGTGTTTGCCGCAGACGACCCCTGCCCGGGGCACCGGAATTGGGTAGAGATCTCCAGGGATGCGGATGCGCTGCCCTCGATCGTCTGCTCTGCATCTATCCGAACACAAGATGGCGTTCTTGGTTATTCCCTTGGTTATTATTCCCCTCGTAACGGTCTTCCCTCCCCTCTTCTTGCTTTCTTCCGCATTGTGACTGCATGACGGAGTCGATTCAGCTCTGCTTGGTACGGTGCTAGCTGGGCCTGGGCTACTTGGGACCAGTTCGTACGAGTCTTCGGACCCTTGTTTCCTGCCGTGCTCCAGGCCGGCGATGAGACGATTTCAAGTCGCCGATTCCAAAGGACTGGGAGAATCAAGCATTCAAAATCGTCGGCAGAAAGTTCTCTGGCTCCATGACGTATCTCCAAAACCGCCATCCAGTTCCTAAACATCCATTCGTGGGTAGGGAAGGATGTCACACTTGGAAGAAAGGTCTTTTCTTTCGAATATCGATGAGTCCGGAGCTTACTCGAACCAACCCATATGCATAAGGGAGAAAACGCCCTGCATCCTGGAGACTTTTCCTAGGCTGTGAAGCTGTAATTCCTACCTACAAACCCAACCGAAGAATGGATGACGAGAGCTGTACGTATCCGTCCTCCCGTTTCGTGGAAACATTGCTTGGTACCCCGGCTGCTTCTCTGGCTGAAGTACCACCGGAGAATGGCGAGCCGTCCCGAGAATAATTGTCCTGAGTCTGACGGCGGGAACAGGAACAACACTTGAACGCTGGCTGGCAGTCCCTGGTACCCCGCTGGTTCGAATTAAGAGGAGAGGACAGGACCGAGATCCGAGAGAGATTTCTGAGCGTGCCGAACGAACCTGGCACTTGTCCTCCTCTGTTGTCTTTCTCTCCGCTATGTCTTCTCCCCCGTCTGGAGATGCGCATCGCCAGGAAATTCTCCAGGTAGGTAGGTGGGTAGTTAAGTGGGTGACTCTCGATCCTCAATTCTTCCTTGTTCTTGACACCACACCCACATGGCCCCAACCATATGCTCTCTCTAGCCTCCGTAGGAGCCCCCCGAAGATCCCGAGATGAGTGCTACAGTGTCACCATCCATTGCACGTCCGTCTCGTCTCCGCCTACTCCACTTTGCCATTTATCTGACCAGCAGAAGTAATCGTCTCTTAATCGTTGCAGAGATGCTCTCTCTTCCGGAACACCATTCTCTGAAAGAGAATCTCTGAAAGAGAATGGCATACTGCTAGTACAAATGAGGGGAAAGCTCCCTTTCGAATAGAATACTTGCTCTTTTCCAAACATTTCTCACGCCTGTTTCTCCTGAAGCAACTTGCATCGTCACCTTTGTCCCGACGACGGACCTGCATAAAAGATATTCATATTGGAGCTTCTCCTCTATAACCGGCCTCCTGTATCCTATTACATGTCCCCAAGCCAAGCGGCTTCCATCTAGTCTTTTCCATGGCCAACACCGTATCAAATACATTTAGCTAGCTGCTCACTCACTTCCCCTCCTCGCGAACGATTGCCACCACTACACAAATATCGTCTACCTTCCCACCTCTCCATCTCTCATACGGATAGTACTTCTGCACCTCCTTCGCAAACGGCCCATCAACCCGCGTATTCATACTCGCCGCCTTGGCATCACCCGTGATGCCCACGGCCAGCGAGCTCTGCAGGCTCGGTATTTCCTCCGGCCCCCCTTGCACATCATCCGCCATCATAAGTTCATTCAAGCGCTTGCCCACCGCAACGCCTCCCTCGGTATGTTCCCACGCCCGCGAGCGCAGCATGACCCGCGACACCGTCTTCAGGATTTCCTGGCTGGTCAAGTTATCCCAAACTCCATCGCTCGCAAAAACAAGCACGTCGCCATGCTTGAGCGAGTGCTGGCTGACATTCGCGTCCTTGGGGTAATCACATAGCTGCTCGCCCCCAAACGCCGCAGCTTGGGCAAGCGCCTTGTCCGGCACAACGCTGAGCTGATATGGCGTGTTAAACGCATGCGTCTGCGGCTCGCTGTAGTTACGAATAGCGTTCAACCTCAGCTGTACAAAGCCGGAGTCGCCTAGATTCGCCACCTCGAGCGTCCCGTCCTCCCTCGCGATAGCCACACAGGCCGTACTCCCCCCCGCGGGAACCGTCTTGTCTTTACAGATATCTTCGTAGCCACGCTGCATCAGGCTTCTCGCGCTCAAGGGGGACGGCCACTCAGCCGCCACGTGTGTGTAGGCTGCGTGCGCCATGTAGTCGCAGAAGCCATGTGCAAAGTCCGCCGGGTCGACGCCGGAGTCGACCCAGCCGCCCACACCGTCTGCGACGCCGAGGGCGATATCGGAGGAAGCGCCGATGCGCGAGACGAAGAACGCATCCTGGCCACTATCCGGGCGGGTGCGCTTGTCTTTCCTGCGGGCGCGGATGTGGTTGTAGGGGTTGAAAGTGAATACGTTGATGTCGGGGTTGTAGCGGCGATCTTTGGCTGTAAAGGACGCTGCTATCCCGTACGTGAATTTCGGACCGCTGCTGGAGGTTGCTGTGCGGGTTGTGGAGAAGGATCGTGCGGGGGGTTTTGTAGATGGGGAGAGGGGGAGGTTCGGGTTCGGGTTCGGGTTCGGGGTGCGAAGAGAGGGTTGGGATTGAAGATCAAGAGGGCGCGTTGAGAAGTTTCGGGAGGCGCCGCTGCGATTGAGTGCTGTGGGACGGAGGATGCCTATCCCTATGCCTATGCCTGTCCTACTTGCTGTAGCGGCAAGCTTTGGGATTGGAACCATCGTCGCGGTCTCGATGGGGAGAATAAGGATTTGGCGAAGCCCGAAGGCTCGCTGGCGGAATCGAATGGGCGATTAGATGCGAGCCACCATAATTCAATATATACGGGGCACGAGATCGTCGCGGATGATTGCGCAGAATTGAGAGATTGTCCCTCTTTTGTCGTCGACTTGCCCCAGTAGCGTTCGAGTGATCTGGCGATCTGTTTAGTCAAACCAAAAATAAAACTTTTCGAGTCGCTCGTCATTATGCCGTGACATCCCTGCAGCGGGGCCCGGCCCCCTGAGTTCCGCAGCCCCGTTTCGTTGGCTTCGAAAATACCGAGCCTCTCTCCATACACGTTTTGCAGTCGGCTCATTGCGTTCGCCATGTAAAAGTGCTTGCTCCGCTAAAAAATAAATAATAATAATAATAATAAAAGTAAAGAAAAAAAGAGGAAAGGAAAGGAAAGGAAAGGAAAGGAAAGAAGAATAAAAAGAACCAGCAAACGCACCTCGTCGTCTCCGTAATCGAAACCGCCTTCTCGCAGGCACCTCCTCTCGCCCTCCTTCAAGTTCGCAAATCCCCCCGAGTCGAAATCGGAATCGAAATCGGAATCGACATCGAAACCGGATTCCGGATCGGCAGATGGGCTGCCCTCTGAGGAAGTATTCAGTTACAGGATAGGATAGGATAGGATAGGATAGGATAGGACGGGACGGGACCGGTACGATGGAGATGGACTAGCGCTGAAAGCTCCGGGGGGGGGGGGGGAAACCGACGCGGCGGTGTGAATAGAGGATGGATATCTGGGCGGAACGGGGGCGGGTGTTGGGTGTGCCGGGTTGGGTTGGATGAGAAAGGTTAGGCGAGGGTGTTTGTTTGTGTACATGAGGGTGGGATGGGATGGGATAGGATGGGATAGGATGGGATGGGTCTCGTGGAAAGAAGAGGAGAGACACGAAAGCTGGGCTCGACAGTGCCTGCGGAGGGTACACCCTGTGGGTTGAGGGATGGATGATGGGGAGTTCTTCCATGATGACTACTCTGTATCCGTCGGAGCTGGGACTTTTGGAATGGGTTATGGATGGATATTTAGTCCTCTGTTACAACCATATACGGATCTTGTTTTCACTTCCGATCGACCTAAGTTCGCGCAATCGCAGAGTGTTCTCGGAAACCAATGAGGAGGGCCTTGCATTGGATTTTGGAGTTTGGGTAGGCGGGAGTAGTTTGGTCATGGAAATACACTTCGGCACTGACACCGACATATAGAGAGTAACGATAAACGGCCTTGAAACGGAGTTTATCGTACCTGATGCAATTCCGTACAGCCATCTCTTCGAAAACCTCCATGCAGAGCTGCATAGTATCCCGAGAGCCCGGACCGTCTTCCTACACATACTCACAACCCATACCTACAACCCATCTAATGCACAATTACCACCGGCTTCTCCTTCTCCCACCCATCCAGACTCTCCTTAATATTAACCCAATACCTCAACTTTACCGCCTCCGCCTTCGCCAGCTGCATATCGTCTTCCCTGAACGCCCCATCAAGCACCCTCTCACTCTCCTCTATCCGCCCCTCATTAGCCTCCCTCAACTCCAGCAGATCCTCCTCCCCATCCGCCTCCTCAATCGTCTCCCTCGCCTCCAGCACCTCTATCAACAAGCCCGTATCCTCGACCTTCGCTCTCTCGTCGTCCACGACGCCGATGCCCCTCAGCCCGAGCAGGTACTGCGCCCGCAGCAGCGGGTTCAGCAGCGTCCTGTACGCCTCGTTGATGCGCGCGCTCGTCGCCTCCGCCCGGCTCTTGAGCTCCTGCGGATGCCGGTCCGGGTGCGCCACCGATTGCAGCTGCAGGAACTCCCTGCGGAGGGCGCGCGCGTCGATCTTGAAGGGCCCAGCGGGCGGAGGCCCGGACGGCAGCGTCAGGGGGAAGAAGTCGTAGTGCGTCTTGGGGATGGGGGAGGCTTTTGGGGGGGGCTCGGCTTCGTCGTCTGCGGGGGGGGATTTGGGAGCCGGTCTGGAGGCTGAGGGTGTGGGTGTGGAGCTTTGCCAGCGGCGCTGCGTATGTGTTTGTGGTTTCGGGGTCGGGAGACACCTTCTGCATGCGCGACAGATTTGGAGAGGAGGCTGGGGGGTTCTCGGGCGCGCGGTGGTGGTGGTAGTGGTGAAGCTGCGGTAGAGAGGTGGTGCCTCGTGGGCGAGCTGGCGGCGCATGAACATCGTGGGGCGCATTTCAATCAGGCTCGAGGTTTTCGTCCTTGTGCTGCTGGTCTGGAGTATATCGAAGCTATAGTTTCTGTGAACTTTCAATGCGGAGGAGGAGATGCGATAATCCAGAGTTTTGTAGTGTGTCGCTGAATTTGCGTGTTCGAGAACGTCATTTGTTCGCTCACTGAAAAACAAAATAAGTGACGTTGAGGTACTGAGCCGAGATCTCGGCCCGCAGGGATTCGCCATTCGGGCATTTTCTTCTTTCCCCCGATCGAAAGGTTATTTCAACATCTCGATATACGTACGTAGTTGTATAAATTTCAGTAAATACGCAAGAGCCGCGATTGTCGCAGGTAAATACCTCCAAGCCGAACATCTTCGCCCAGAAATCAGTTCACGGTACGGTAAGTAAGCATCAGAGTCTGTCTGTCTAGTGTTCCTGAAGACAATAGTAGGTAGGACTGACCGGTCGACCACCTGCGTTATGGGTCAGGGTCAAAGACATCTAGAAGTATTTTATCGTAAAATCCTATGGGCTACTACTGAATTTGAGGTATACATCGATTAACACATACCTACCTTCCCCGCAGCTCCAAGGCGGCGTCTAGTAGCTCGCAGCGCATCGCATGAAAACGGACGCATAGAACCCAGGAATCAGAACCTCGAAAACGATCCCGCCATCCCCTTAGAGATTCAATTGAGTCGGTTCCCAGAAAAAAAAAAGTTCAGCATCCTCTTCCGCAAGTGTGATTTTGTGAAAAAAAAAAATGTCGCTCGTCGCCGGCTGACCCATCGACTCGTCTCGCTAGCCGTAAAGAAATACAGTACAACAGCAACAACAAGAACAACAACAACAAATCGCCAAAAGACAAACGATACATCTATCTCTCTATGTCGTGAGGGCCGCAAAGTGCTCACTTCATATCTCCCCCTTTCTTCGGGATTTGAAAAAAAAAAAAAAAAAGGTGCATCGGTTCCAGATTTTCAACCGTCTCCTGTCCTCCGTAGAGATCCAAGAAAAAAAAAATTGAAGCTAAGCTCTGGAAGTGGACATATAGGCAGGCATTATTGTACCTTGGCTATAGCTGGCAGCGTCGACCACGAGCGCACGAGCGCACGAGCCAGAAACCTACTCCGTGAGTACAGTACAGTACCTAAACCATGCGCATGCCGTGCCAGCCACCCTTGCACCCTGCCCTGTACTGTACGTACTTCGGTATCCAGGGAGAGGGGACATTCTACACCTACGTATCTACTGTACCCACCCAGGTAAGTTGTACGTAAGTAGCAGATTACCTCCTTCTCGATACTATATATTAATTAAACATCTAACTTCCAATCCTCACGCACTCCCCTAATCTTATTTTTAATTCTATTCTTATTTTTCTCTTATTCTTTTCTCTCAATCCCGTCCCGTACAAACAGCCTCTGCTACCCCCGTACTTACTTAGTAGGAATAAAAACGACCCTGCCCAAACGGACGTCACGATGAGGTAAGCTACTCGCTTAGCGAGCACGCCTCACTCACTCACCCACCGACTCACTCACCCACCCACTCACTCACCCACTCACTCACCCAACCGAGCTCCAGCTCCAGCTCCAGCTCCAGCTCCCGCAGCCCCAGCTCCAGCCCGTGTTCCCGTCCTGTCCTGTCCATTTTTACAAGTACCTACTCCTTCCTCCGCGTGATCCATTCCGTGTGTTGACTACCTAGCTACCCACTTCCTTGCTACATTTTGATATACGAATAATGCAATATTAGATGATCCATGGCAGATAACGAGAGATTCTTTCGTAATTATCGTCGTCATATATATATGTATGTTTTTTTTTATTCGAAAAAATACAAAGTAATGGCCGCTTAAGTATCAAGATACGATAGCTGCTGCTGCTGAAACGATGTGACCGCTGCTGCTGAAAATGAGAATAGACATGCTCGTGAAGAAATTTTCCAATTTTGAAAACTGATTGATCTGTATCACCATCTGAAGATGTAGACTGTTCGCTGGTTCAGAGCTCCAGAGAGCGAATTGGCACAACGTGAAAAAATGAGACGGTGGAATGGTTATAGAATTTTTTTTCTTAACATGAGCTTTCGGTTTGGTTATTTTTTGTGGCTACATTTCCTGACAAAACATTTACAATCGTGCTCGCGCCAGCTCTGCTGAACTCCCTCCACCGCTAAACTCGAACTGCCACTACGGTCTGCCTAAAACAAATAACGATATATCAGTAGCTTAAGAAGAGCGTCACCGCTTCTCAATATCCTCGACAGTGGTTGCATCGCCACCCTTCATCGCGGAAGCGAATGTCTCGTGAGGCACCCATTTGGCAGACGTTCTCGGCGTCGACTCCTCGAACATGCGGTCGACTTGCTCGAGAGAGAGACCCTTCGTCTCTGGGACGAGGAAGTACGAGTATATAAATGCGGTAGTGCACAGACCCCCCCAGATGAAAAATACGGAGGACCTGAGATTGGCGTAGTCCTCACCAACCATGTATGGGGTGATGACAGCGATAATGGTGTTCCAGAGCCAGTTCGAAGCCGTGGAGAGGCCAACTCCGCGGGATCGGATAGGGAGAGGGAAGATCTCTCCGATCAGGATCCAGGCACCTGGACCCCATGTAGAAGCAAAGAAGAAGATGAAGATGGCGATGAATGCGATCTGGGCGTTGACAGCTGCGATGTTGTCGGCGAGAGGGTCACCCGCCGCGTCGAGGTGGGTGTGATTGAAGCCGACAGTCACACCGATGATGGCGACGAGAAACTGACAGATCAACATGCCGAGGGCGCCGAATATGAGGAGGGGCCTGCGTCCCAACTTCTCGACGGTGTAGAAGGAGATCGGGGTTGAGCAGACGTTGACCAGGGTGAAGATCAGGGAAATGATGAAGGGGCTGCTGATGGCGCCTGTCGATTTCAGGAAGGGGGTGGAGTAGTAGAAGATAAAGTTCACACCGGTCCTGATGAGAGTTAGTGCAGCGCTGTGAGTAGGAAAGCATTCTGTGCGTACCATTGTTGCATCATTTGCAGAGAAGTGCCCAAGATGGTTCTGCGCAGGTTCGACTTGGCAGACCATAATCCACCAGTGAAGCAAGCCATCCAGCTGCCGACGATGCCAGTAGCGGGAATGACACTGCGCTCGTACTCATCGTTTGCGATGATTTCCGCCAGTTCATTTTGAACGTACTCGGATTCGGCAGGCTGGCCACGGAGCCGGACCAATGATCTGCTGGCATCCTCGAGCCTTCCTCGCTTAACATAGTAGCGGGGGGAGTCTGGCAGGAAGAGAAGTCCACCGCCGAGAATCAGAGCCCAAATAAACTGAAGAGCGATCGGGATGCGGTATGAGCCGGAATCGGTGCGTTTCTCGGTCGCGTAGTTGACGCACGCGGCCAGTAGGAGGCCGATGGTAATGCAGAATTGGTAGCCGGCGACGAGGGCACCACGGACTTTCTTCGGGCACTAAGGGGTCTCGGGTATTAGAGGTGTTTGCTTCGAGACAAGTGCTGCTGACGATGCTGCTGGAAGTGAACTTACAATCTCCGACATGTACAGAATGACGATGGCAGATTCGAATCCGACTCCGAATCCAGCAATAACACGGCCTCCGACAATGATCCCGAGCGCAGAGCCTCCAATGCCGGTGAGCATCTGGACGATAACTCCGACAGTGTAGATGATACAACCAATGATCACGGTCCATTTTCGGCCGATTCTCTCGGCGACATCACCTGCAATCAGAGCACCGAAGAAGGTACCTGCAGAGAGGATGGAAACAATCAGAGATTGGTAGGAGGATCGCAGGGTGTCTCTGTCGTCGCCTTCAATGAGGCGGATAAACATATCAGAGCCAATGACTCCGTTGATGTATCCGGAGTCATAACCGAAGAAGATACCACCGAAGGAGGCGAAGGCACAGATGAGGTAGGCCTTAATGGTGATTGGAGCCTCGGCACGGTCGACATTGTCCGTCGCGTGAATGGCTGGGCCGGGGGCCATGATGATGGGGGGAGAATGTTTGATAGAGGAGTATATACCTTAGCGAGACGAGGACGGTGAGGAGGAGGAAGAGGCGGAGGAAGAGGAAGAGGAAGAGGAGGAGATGCAGTCAGTTACCTATTCAGAAAGTCGATGAAGCAGAGCAGACGAGAGGGGAGGGGGAGGGAGATGGGCTTATTTAAAGAAAAGGGGAGGGGGGGGGATGGGTGGGAAAGGCGAGAAAAGATGGGCCGCCCGAGTGCATGGCAGGTGCAGCAGTGACTGGCCGAGGTCGAGCCGTAGTTACCAGATTGGAGAAACGACTACTTGGGGGTCACGAGCTCACCGCATCACCGGTAAAGCTCCCCCGTCGTCCAGAGCTGGTCCAGAGCTGGTCCAGAGATAGTCAGTCCATGGGCCATGGGGTTCGTGGGGTTTGGAAACGGAACTTGGGAAGCGGAAACGCACTGCTGCATGGAGAAGTGGGGTAGAAGTGGGGTCCAAGAGGAGCCAAGAAGGGGGTCCCGGCTTCTTGAACCTGACAAGCATCAAAGGACTTCGGAAGAAGTCAGTACTGTAATTCGGAGTCAGCACTAGTCCAATTCCAGAGTCCAGAGGGGGCCTCGAGTCCTTACTAGTACAGATACAGTAAGTGTTCTCCGCATTATAGCGTCGGACATGAGCGCGATGTGGATATCGAGATGGGCTTGTCGACTCCGGAATACGTTGTACGTACTGTACGTAAGGTACGGTAAGTACAGCTAGTACAGTTGTAGTACTACTAAATACTACTAATACTGCAGTAAATGTCGCTTCGACTCGAGTCAGGCCGAACCACCAATCAAGCCGCAAAGCCCGGGGTCGGGTCGGGGCCAGGAGGGTGTGGAGGGTGTGGAGGGTGTGGAGGGTGTGGAGGGAACCTTCGTGTGGCAGGGGACCACGCGCTCTGCCTCGGCAGAACCACCGAGTCGGTCCTATTATTCTTATTTTTACCCTACTCTTCAATGCTGCTTGTTGTTGTTGTCATACTCGTGGGCGTTTGGCGTTTGGCGTTTGGCGTTTGTGGCCGCCACCGCTCCGCCACCGCGGGCCTATTGGTGACTAATGCCCGGCCATGAGGAGCCTAGTTACGAATCATTCGAAGAAGTGTGGGGTCTCCACGCCTCCATGTTTCTGGACCTGCAACTGACCTCCCCGATGACACCCGAAATACTACGTCCAATTCCTGGGAAGCCACACCAACACGCCGTCAACCACCCTACCGATTTGAAATCGAGGGAGAATCAAGCACAAGAAGCACGTCCCGGATGAAATGCCCAGCTTTTTTCGCTCTTTGCGGAAGGGAATACCTTGTACCGAGCATCTCGACCTGGGTCTTCTAAAACCCCTGTTCGGACCCATGTCGGTCGTTGTGATGGTACTATCCCCCATGGAATACGTAGTAGTACTGTAGTAGTAGTAGTAGTAGTACATGTCGAAAGTATAATTCGCAAGGGCTTGAACCAATAAACTTCGAACGATTCAGCCTTGAAAAGCATCTTTAAGCAAGTATCTGGTCTGTGCAATAGAGTTGACAAGGCTTTGAGCCATTCAGAAACCACCACTCTTACTGTATGATCTATGGGGAGGGCTAAACCGGGCCCGACATGTATTGCGGGGGGGGGAGGGGGGGAGGGGCTCTGTATGTGGTATCAGCGCCTTTCCCGAGTGCTACAGTACGAAAAGCTGGGTCTGGACTCTGTATGAGAAATCTCTTCTCAAGAAGAACCCTTTGAAGAGCCAATTGATGGTGGGCTTTCGATTGCCTCGGACAAAGTGCAAACACTCTACTCTGTATCTGCAAACCGATGCGAACTCCCACTATTTTCAGATTCTCACGGGGTAGTATTACTTAATATCCCGCCCGGATACGGTAGTGCCCTTGGAAGATTGGCGCCGAGACTGGTCACCGGTCGCAGAACATCTTGGCCATACTCTAAGTATAAGCTGCAAACCGACTTTAGTCTGTCACCACTTTGCTTGTTTGGCCGAGGCCTTTCACATTTGGAATTGGCTGCAGGGTCCAAACCTGGCGAGAGGCGCCGAGGGGATTTTGCAGTTCAAATGACGACAAAGCTCTCATTACGGAGGGGCACCTCGAACGAATAACGTTAAGTAATAGGTCGTGAGATCAAGGTTTGAGTGAAACTGTTTTCGATGTTCTTCATCCTCTCGTCCATGGGTTTCCTTTCTGAAAGCTCGAACTACATCACTTCGCGCTTTTTCCATCCACTCGTCATTTGCTCTTGGTCTTTCATACATACATCTTTCATACATACATACATACGTACCTATGCATCCCTTAGCGAGCTTTCAATCCCACCACAGACCTCACTTCTGCTTCCTCTGCGATGTAATCTGGTCGTATGCGATGGGAAGTTGCGAAACATTTTCACTGATTCCCTCATGTATCAAGAAGTCGGGCAGATCATTACATGAGATCCTGAAGGGGGTCTGCCAAGCGCTTCTCGGAGCTCAACTGATGTCATTTCTTCTTTTTCTTCAGTGTTCTTTTTTCTTTTGCTTCTTCTTCCTCATTCCGTCTTCCTTCTTTCTCTCCATTATCTCGTGGTTCGAGATCTGTCGCGCGTCCTAGCAGAAGTGGGGGGCTACCTTCCAACGCAGGAGGTGTTTGGCGTTCTGTTCAACTCTGAGTTTCCCTTTGTTGTTGACCTCGCAAGTAGCAAAAACCCCATTTTTCAACAACGTCGCGACGCTTGTACCGTATCCACTCCCGGATACTTGCTTTCTTGCTCAGCATTCGATCTCTGCTCATTCCGAGAAGTGGTTCTATCGGATATTCGGCATGACGCACTAGAAATCACTAAAATGCTTACTAAGCCCTCTGTTCTCTACAATGGCAAAGAAATGCTTCCACCTGGGTTCCTTCGATATTCAGATAGAGACAAATACGACAGCAATCATCAATTCCAGACGACATCTAGCTTGAAAACCAACGATACGGTAGAACCAAAGGCGGGAAAGTTTTGAAACCGCTCTCTAAAAACAGTCTTGCCCTATACCACGTGCCGGTCATTCTACACGCTCGTACCTAAACACTTGCTAACATCAGTCTCATCTACCTCTGAGCCCATTCCTGTCTTGCAATTGCTCAATTTTCGCCTCTTGAAGCAACTCTTAGCACGTCTTCAATTTCTCAACCCAAAGCCCTTTCTCGCCTCAAGAGTCATGCCTTCTTCCAAAGATCAAGTTCAAGAAATGCTCCCCGCCAGAATCGTCGTCGAGTCCCTGATTAACGCAGGCGTGAAACTTGTCTTCGGTATCCCGGGTGCCAAGATAGACGCCCTTTTCAACGAGTTGCTCGATCACCCAGAGATCAAACTCATCATCTGTCGCCATGAGCAGAACGCTGCATTCATCGCAGCGGCTATTGGGCGGCTGACGGGGAGCCCAGGGGTGTGTATCGGTAGGTATTTGTTTAACTTGACTCTCGTCATTTTGTTTGCTCGCTTGAATGTGGAAGCGAATATGGAGCTTTGGGTTTATATTTTTTATCGTTTGTTTGAAGCGAAACCCACCCCTTCACCCCCCCTCTCCCCCGCCCCCGCGCTCTAAAAAAAGGCAGAAGTTACTCCGACTGATATATGAGGAAAAAAGCAACCTCGGGACCAGGCGGCACCAACCTCGTCACCGCTCTCGCAACAGCTAATACGGAAGGCGACCCCGTTGTTGCCCTCGTCGGCTCAGTCCCCCGAAACATGTCCGCCGCAAAAACGCACCAGTCCATGAACGTGATGGTAGGTCACGGGGAAGGCCATCTAGTCTTTTCCAATCCTTCTTGCGGAATTTCCCAGTTAGGCAATTGTTGACCACCTGTGTCGCTCTAGGCGGTTATTGCCCCCATCGCCAAAAAGACCCAGAGCGTAGACCACCAAGACCAAGTCGCCGACATCACCATCGATGCTTTCCGCACCGCCGCATCCTACCCGCAAGGCGTCTCCGCCATTGCCCTCCCTCTCGATATCATGAGCACCGTCCCGTCCAAGTTCCTTGCCTTCCCCCAGAAAGCCTTCACGCCCCCAATGTACGGTGCCGCTCCGCAGCCTCTGGTCTCCGCACTGGCACGCATGATCAACCGAGCCAAACTCCCAGTGCTGCTTCTGGGTATGCGCTCCAGTGATCCCGCGACCGTCGGTACCATCCAGGCGCTGCTGCAGAGGCACCCTCTCCCCGTGCTCGAAACGTTCCAAGCAGCAGGCTGCGTCTCGCGGGATCTCAAGCACTTGTTCTTCGGCCGGCTGGGCCTCTTCCGCAACCAGCCCGGCGACAAGCTGCTCGCGCGCGCAGACCTTGTGGTCACGGTCGGGTACGATCCGACGGAGTACGACCCGTTCAGCTGGAACGTTGACGGGGACATGAGGGTCGTGCATGTGGATGTCAAGGGCTGCGATTACACGCACCACTACCAGCCCGAGATTGAACTTATCGGAGGCATCGGTGCCACGATCGAGGCTCTTACTAGCCAGTTAACGGAGACGAAGGAACTTGCTTGTAAGGATATCTGTGATGAGATATCTGCCGAGCTACACAAGTGGGAAAACACAGATCTGAGGGCGGCGGGCAAGGACTTGAAATTAGTCCACCCGTTGCACTTCATCTCCACCCTCCAGAGCCTCGTCAAGGATACGACGGTCGTATGCTGCGATGTCGGGACAGTATACATCTACATGTCGCGGTATTTCTTCTGCTACCTCCCTCGCCACTTTTTAGTATCAAACGGCCAGCAAACCCTCGGCGTTGGTGCGTATTCCCTCCTCCCCCTTTTTTTTCTCAAACCCACCCTCGGCACCCTCACATGTGGAAAGAAAGAAAGCGAGCCACGCTAACAGCCATCCCCCTTGCCCAGCCCTCCCCTGGGCCATCGCCGCCTCCCTCATCCAATCCCCGACGGACCCGTCCGCCCGCCAAAAGGTCATCTCCCTCTCGGGCGACGGCGGCTTCATGTTCACCTCGCAGGAGCTCGCCACGGCGGTGCAGCAGCAGTGCGACATCACGCACTTCATCTGGAACGACGGCACCTACAACATGGTCGCCTTCCAGGAGGAGGCCAAGTACGGCCGCACCTCGGGCATCGACCTCGGCGGCGTCGACTTTGCCCTCTTCGCCGAGTCCTTCGGCGCCAAGGGATTCCGGGTCGAGAGCGCGCAGGACCTCGAGCGCGTGGCGCGGGAGGCGCTGGCGTATAGAGGGGTCAGCGTCGTGGATATCCCGATTGACTATAGCCATGTGAGCGAGCTGATGGGGAATATCATTAGGAAGGAATTCAATTAGCTTAGCCTGCTAGCGCTGGGCTGAGGGCTGAGAGCTGAGATGTTTTGGTGCTTGGGTTTATAGAGGTGGATAACAGACTGATAGATGCGATCAATGGTGATTTAGAGGAAAGAGAGTATATATACATGTGTATTGGATATAACCCCCCCTTACCCCCCAAAAAAACGCCGGATTTACAGAGAGTGATGCATACTGTGGAAAGCGCAAAAGCCGCTGCTCCCTTCTTTCTGCCGTTATTCGTGGATTGAATCGAAAAGTGTAGTCGTAACCGTACAATAGCTCGAAGCGAACAAGCCCACTTTTTTTTCTTTTTCTTTTCAACGCCCGCGCAACCCGATCGAAAGGAAAAAAAAGAGGAGTGAAGATTGGATGACGTTAAGCATCATTGATGGGAGAATCCAGTGTGCGCCGTCCTCTTGTTTTGGCGTCATATCTGAAGGGTTTGAAGATACACTTCAGGTTGGAATCCAACCTGTTTCTTCCAATGGCCATCGAATCCATAGGCTGAGTAAGTCAAGTTAGCCATCAGGAGGTAATCAGCGACTGGCGTGAGAGAGCCACTGACCGATGCTCCCCATCGAGCAAATCCCATATTCGGGACACAAGATGGGTGCTCCATCCTTGCATCCACCAATGCGAATCTAGCTTCTTCAGGATCACACAGAAGTGCGCAAAGATCGTGAGCGCCTCCTGTGTATGCTGCCCCAAAAGCTGCAGGAACTGCTCAGTCACGCCGAAAATCCAGGTAAACACATCTCCGGTCTCGTATCCCGGTGGGCCTCCCCTCTCGTAGAAGACAAAGCAGTGCCGGAGAGTCTCTATAGCCGCGAGGTAGTCCGACTTGTTTGCCAAATCGAGACTGTTTTGTGCGATGAGGTTGCTGAGCTCACCAAGCGGATCATCGCGTGCAGATTTATCCGCCATATACTGGGCTCGCATCTGGGATTGACGGCCTTCAGCTATGAACATTGAGCCCAAGGCTCCCTGGCGGAGCTGCTCCTCGAAGGTGTTGGTGAAGCTGGTTCCCTTCATCAGGTACAGCCAGTGTGCTAGTGCGTTCTCTCCGACTAGTAGAAGATCCCAGGACTTGCGTGGGCTAGCCATGGTATATAAAACAGCGAGGGTCGAGAATGCATAGACCTGAATAGACTTAGTGATTGATGGTAAAGGGGACATGACATGCTTACACCTGTGCAATTCTCCGACGAAACATTTGACAAGACCTCGCTTGCTATACGTAAGCCTATTTGGTGCTGAAGCATGGCCTGTTGAATATAGAAGTCTCTTTTTTCCGGTTTGTAGTGAGCCATATGTAGTGCTGACAGGGCGAGTATACCACGCATTACAAAATCGTACTGAAATCCCACCTGGGGCATGTTAATCTGCCATGCAATCTTCATAGTGGGATCGGTGTGTATGGTGAAGGCGGTCGAGGTGACGAAATTGTGCAAAAGTTCCAAGTCGATTAAATTCAGACCATTTGATACGAGAGGATTTCCTAGGAGGGAACCATTTCTACCGTCCAGAACATCGATATTGCTGCCATTGCCATGAGGGCTGTCGTGAGCAGAGTCACTCTATTAATTGTCAATACCAGCAATTATGATTCGTGTGATGGATTCTTAGTGGCTCATTCTATCTCACTTAAGGCAAATGCCTCACCATCGACTGTGGGCGCTAGTGATCCGTGCATGACCTACTTGTGAAAGACCATTTCCCGCATTCATTGCCTGCGACAAGAGAAAATCGCATTGCACAGAGTGTTTCATGCAGTTGTGACATGCTGGCCGATGTTCATCACACTATACAAGGAAGCTGTTAGCAATGAATTCTTCCAGCAATGAAAGGAATAGGAAACATTTTGATATATCGACCCGGATCTGGCCGAGAACAGAGCAGACGAGAAGCTAGTTGGAAGAGGCAGATTGATAGCCGGTCTTCTTCTGCCGAAATCGTCTATCAATCGAGCTGAAGGGATTGATCGTGCAGCATCAACGCCCCGGGATGTGTACATAGAAATCGGAATATTGCGAATTAACAAGACCCGGTCTGCTCAGCTCTTCGGGTATTCCAGGGATGAGAGGTTGAGGCCCGACAGATTGAGCAGTAAGAGAAAAACCAATTTCAGGACACTAGGAGAGAGGCAGGTATCATCAAAAGTGTCGTCCCCTGGATCTTGTTTTACCCGATTGATCCATCGCATGTTCTCTTTCGCGGATGAAATTGTAAGGACAAGCAGGATAGGACGAGCAGCCACAACCTATAACACATAGCGAGCAACCGGAGCCACTTAGCGAGCCCCCCATCTCACTGGATCCCGCCGGATTCAATCAACAACAATCATTCCCGCCGATGACAGACTTCCATCACGTGTGTTTTGAGCCCCGGCGCACAAGTATAGGCCCACTCAAGCCATCATTCCAAATCTCCAGCTCACGCAGTTGCTCCAAACAAATCATGCCGACGCCGAAGACAGGAGCGTACCTTGATCTTCCTCTGCTTGCACGTCCGGCAACCCGTCCGCGTCTTCCGGTGGGTCTTCCGCGCGGACGGCTTCATGATGGGGTTGGCGTGGACATTGTTCGGATTCACGGGGGTGGAGGGGTCCATCTCTGACCGATGCGCGGCAACCAGAGGGGACGGTCTCAGTACGGCTGTGCTGTTATTTCCCGGGGTCGTGATCTCAGGAACTAGGTATGTATATATGTACCGGTATATATACATATATACATGTACGGTATATATACGGCCGTGGAATGAATCTGGAGCCACGTCCCGTCCCGGCCCGGCCCGGACCTGAAGCACACCGTTGGACGATTGTGGAGCGAGATATAGATAGATAGTAATTCTTCACTTTTAAATATTTTTTGGATGCGAGAAGATGCGAACATGTACGAGGAGGATGCGAAGGGTCCGTTGACGTTCTTGTACTCTTGGGGGCGGAATTTTCGACTGGAGGGCAGAAATACGGGTATTCGTATCGAATCCGAATGTGTTCCCCATAGCCGTGAACGTTTCGAGTTGTCGGGGCTTGAGGGCCTCGGCTATAGTCCAATGAACAGCCAGCTATCGTCCTCCGTACAACTACCGTTATCTTCCGAGTGACGCAATACGAGGCAATACGAGGCAATACGAGGGGGCAATACGAGCCTATCCGAGTCAGCGAGTCTCTGCAGATGGTGGTCGTGGTTGGTGCATGTGACGACACAGTCACAGCGGTGGCGTGAAACCGGGGAAAAGAGAGGAGCAGACAGGCATGTGAATGCGATGCCGGGGGGAATGCAGTATATAAGTAATATTACCTACCTATACAAGTCATACAATATATATATAAATCATATATATATATATATATATATATATAACATACAAGGATAGCTTGAGTCTATCTACCTAATCAGTACCTCGGTATCGTGACGTGTCAATCAAGACCTATCTTGATCTCCTACCTAGAGCTCCATCCGCTATGCAATGCCCAGCACGGAGGTAAACTTCGGAAGCCCGGTGTTTAGTGGGTCTCGAACCGCGACTGCAGGTGTGCCGAGGTACTCGAGCAAAATGCAGACAAAGTAGCTCGACTTGTCCGAGTGACCCCCCTTTCTTTGCATGTCAATACCTATTTGCTATAACTCTCTTCCACACTGTTCTCCATCGACATCTCCATCTCCTCTCTCAGAAGTAGGAAAAGAAGCGCAGCTGTGCTGTCTTTTTTCTTTGCCTGAAACCCGAGTCAAGTAGTAATCGGTCTGAAATCCAAACTGAGTAAGCCCGGACTTCCTCAAGCTCCCTCGTTCACCAGCTACATTCCGAACCTGACCTCGCTTTTTCACCAGTTCTCCTGCCTCTCTGCACATCCTGCAACCATGGCTCCAGCTTCGCAAGACTCGGACGCTATCGTCAAGGCCCTGCGAGTACCTCCCCCACCAGGAACCCCGTATTCCCTCCCCGTTCCTGGGACAGAAAAGGAAGGCCGGTCCGCCGTCTACAGACATTGGAGATTCCTCGATAAACCACTGCTGGAGTATCTGGATCCAAGCGCTACTACCGCTCATGAGATCTTCGAGGCCTCGGCCAAGAAGTACGCGAATGCTAAATGTTTGGGACACCGCCCATACGATCCTGTTACCAAGCAGTATGCGAACAACTTCGTGTGGAGCACATATGCGGAGCTGGCTCTCCGAAGGAAGAACTTCGGTGCTGGTCTAGTGGAGTTGCACAAGAAGGCTGGCGTCACGGGAGAGAACTACGGTGTTGGTTTGTGGTGTCAAAACCGACCGGAATGGCAGATTGCTGGTAAGAATTTAGAAACATACTCCCCAGGAGACGAAGAGCTTTGCTGAAAACTGCAGATTTGGGATGTCAGTCTCAATCCCTGTTTACCGTATCCATCTACGAAACTCTTGGTCCAGAGACCACCGAATACATCATCAATCACGCAACCCTGAATTGTGTTATCACAAGTCTTGTACACATCCCTACGCTGTTGAGACTTGCCCCTCGGATACCAACACTGAAGATTATAATCTGTCTGGACCCACTGGAGGCAGGAGAGCAACCTGGGAACTCCAAAGCAGAGCTTCTGAATGCTCTTGCAGTAGATACCGGTATCTCGATCCATTACATGGAAGATGTTGAAGCTTTGGGTGCCAAGTCCGGTCTCCCAATGAAGCCCCCGCGGCCAGAAGATATCATCACTATCAACTACACCTCTGGAACAACTGGGAATCCCAAGGGAGTGGTTCTCACACACGCCAATGCTGCGGCAGCAACTGCAGCCGCTCGGGTGACCGGCGATACCATGAGCTCCGATGTGTTAATTTCGTACTTGCCATTGGCTCACATCTACCAACGAGTGGCTGAACACGGTGCGCTTTCTGCGGGAGCATCTATTGGGTACTTCCGTGGTGATATCCTCGGCCTCGTCGAAGACATGAAGATCCTGCGCCCTACGGGCTTCAACTCGGTTCCCCGTCTGTATAACAGATTTGGCTCTGCCCTTCGAGCAGCAACTCTCGATGCGCCAGGTATTAGGGGTGCAATGGGACGTCATGTCATCGCTACAAAGCTTGCATCGATGAAGCTCCCTCCTGGACAAGCAACTAACAAGCATTTCTTCTGGGACCGAGTTTTTACTCCAAAGGTTGCTGCAAACTTTGGATTCCAACGATGCCGAGGCATGGTTAGTGGTAGCGCCCCAATTGACCCAACTCTTCATCAATTTCTGCGCGCCGCCTTCGGAAACGACTTCATTCAAGGCTACGGTCTCACGGAATCCTATGCTGTCGGCGTCGCCCAATCACAGGACGACTTCTCGTCTGGAAACTGTGGAGGGTTCGGTATTGGCATGGAAGGCTGTCTTCAGTCCGTGCCAGATATGGATTACCTCGTAACCGATTCTCCCAACCCCCGCGGCGAGCTTCTGCTGCGAGGAACCGCTCGATTCCGCGAGTACTACAGAAACGAAGCCGAGACTGCAAAGGTCATTACCGACGACGGATGGTTCCGCACAGGCGACATCGCAGAAATCGACTCGATGGGCCGCGTCAAGATCGTAGACCGTGTGAAAAACGTGCTCAAGCTCGCACAGGGCGAGTATATCTCCCCTGAACGAATTGAGAACGTGTACCTTGCCAATACGAACATTATTGGGCAAGCGTACGTACACGGCGACTCGACGCAATCCTTCCTTGTTGCTGTCTTCGGTGTCGACCCCGTTGCATTTGCGCCTTTCGCAAGCGGAATTTTGAAAAAGACTATCAATGCGGAGGATATCGAGGCTGTAAAGGCTGCGGCTAAAGATAGCAAGGTGCGGAGGGCGGTTGTCAAGGAGCTGGATAAGATTGGCAAGAAGAACAAGTTTAATAGATATGAGCTCGTCCGGAAGGTACACTTGGAGATTGAGCCATTTACGATTGAGAACGAGTTGTTGACTCCTACGTAAGCCATTCTCACAACCCCTCTCCCAACGATGGAAGCGAACATGGCTAACCGAAACATAGACTCAAGCTCAAGCGTCCGCAAACAGCGAAGAAATTCCGCGCCGAGATTGACCAGATGTACGAGGAGGCTCTTGCTGAAGAGGCTCCGATGGCGAAGTTGTAGACTTTAATATCTTGTGACGTTGTCTTCGGATGGTTATTTATTGCATTGGTGACCGTGGAGGCTCTTTGCTGGGTGGAGAAAGCATAGAAAGAACGCTCGTTGGTGGCGTGTAACACAAAATCTGGGAAGATTGAAAGCATTGGACGGCTCAACTCACTTGACCGGATAAATTACAGTAACGCCTACAGAAGAGCATTAATCGTGATGAAATCTCAGCCGTTGCAGACGATTTCAACCCATAAGCACTTGCAAAATGATTCTTTGATAGAAGCAGAACAACGGATACATGCCGATCTAGCGTTTACATAATCGAGCCCAACAAGAAAATACCCCTCCCTTCCTTCCTAACCCGGCCATCGGAGCTGCACGCAACCCACCACCTCTCATTATCTTCCAGGCTCCCCCTCTTCCTCTCTCTCCCTCTCTCTCTCCAAAACCTCAAAAAATAACACCCACGCGCCGACCCCCCGAACACGCAAGGCCACCATGTCACCCCCAGCAGCAGCAGCCCCGCCCCTCCTCTCCTCCCACTCCCCCACCGACGTCTCAACGACCTGCGCTACCTACGCCCTCACCACGGCCGAGTTCCACGGCCTGCACGCCCGCAGCGCCGCGGCCAAAGCCAGCGCCTACTGCCCGTACTCGCGCTTCCGGGTCGGGGCCACGGTGCTGACGCGCGCGGGCGCCTTTGTCGACGGCGCGAATATCGAGAACGCCGCGTACCCCGTCGGGACGTGTGCCGAGCGCGTTGCGTTCGGGAAGGCGGTGACTGAGGGCCACTATCGAGGGGCTGGGGAGGGAGGAGAGGAGAAGCAGGGGATGGAGGGGAGGGGAAGGGGGTTCAAGGCTGTGGCGGTTTGTACGGATATTAGTCCGCCGGCCAGCCCGTGTGGGATGTGTAGGCAGTTGTGAGTTGGTTCTGCCCTTGGTTGATATACCTGTCGTTTGGCCTGGACGGGGTGGGATGCATGGCAGGCAGGCAGGAAAGGGAGGGAGTAGGGGGGGGGGTGAGGGGGTATACATACATGCTATCATGTTTGCGAGCGTGTGAGGAAGGCTGATGGACTGACTGACTGACTGACTGGGGTTCTCTTACCAAATTTAGTATTCGCGAATTCTGCGACCTGGACACCCCGATTCTGATGTTTGATAAGGATGGGTCGTATGTGGTTATGAGGCTGGAGCAGGTACGTGGTTGTGTCTCTTCTTCTTTTCTTTTCTTTTCTTTTCTTTTCTTTTCTTTTCTTTTCTTTTCTTTTCTTTTCTTTTCTTTTCTTTTGGTCATGGGTGCTGATTGTGCTTGATACAACAGCTGCTGCCGATGTCTTTTGGTCCTGAGGCGCTTCCTTCGCCGGGCTCGGCTGGTGCACAGGGCTGATGATACGCGTGTCAATAATTTGTGGTGATATATGAGGGAATGGGAGAATGGGCCACGGGGTGGCTAGATTGGTAGGCACCACAAGGCGTTATTCGGAAGAGAGGGTTGTTCTTTTACCTAGCAAGCACCGCGGGGGCACAGAGTGAGAGAAGTCGGCAACAGCATTCTTCCGTTCATTTATGTTATTAACAATATCTTGTTGGTAATATTCAACGGAAATGCTGATCCACCGGCTACGCCTGCTGCGCGTCCTACTTCCAATCCGAACGCTCCACAGCTGACTCTCGTAGCTAGCATCCGATGAAGAAGACTCTTAACCTTCCATCCCAACTCATATCCAATACTAACAAATATGTAGAACTCTAGATCGGTACAGTCCATGGGTTACTTCATCACGCTACCTATCGATCGATCCATTCACCATCTGCATAAATAAACAAACAGACTGTAATCCCAAGATTGAGAGTCGCTTGCTTACCGACATGATCTCCACCTCCCCCTTTCCTCTCTCTCTCTCTCTGGAAACCTCCACCTCCACCTCCACCTCCACCTCTACCCATCCCTCTCTCTATCTATCCCTCCTCCCTCCAACGAACGAAACCAGACCCCCCCCAAAAAAACCGAGCAGGTATGCTCCGAGCAAGAAAGCAAAAATATACACAAATCCTTCTTCTGTCTTGCTCCGATCCGATCCCATAGAGATCCCATTACTCCAATCCAATCCAATCCAATCCAACCCAACCCAACTGAAATCCAACGGCGATCCAGGAGAACTGAATTCAACCGAAAAAAAAAAAAATCAGGACCAAGGAAGTACGGTACCCAGGTAGAAGCTGCGTAGACAAGACGAGGACGGCACGAGAGGGGGTCAAAAGAGATGGGAGAGATTAGACGAGAAGAGGGGGGGGAGAGGGGGGGAGAGGAATAGATGGACTGACTGTAAAGATGCCCAGTAAGGGAATATATATATACATATATACCTTACATGTATATATTTGGGGGCTGAGCTACCCAGTCAGATGGGTGTGAGAGAGTGAAGCGGAAAGGAAGAGGAGGAGAGAATTGGTATAGAAGCAGGTATAGAAGGCTTTTCTGATATACAACGGGAACACTTTAATACACGTTTAATCTACATCACATTGGGATGTCACTGTCCGTCCATCCATCAGTCATACCTATCTTTACCACCTAGGACCCCGAACTACCCCCCCACCACCATTGTCAAAGAGTAACACGAAGGGTCTGATAACACTAGGCTAGACCTCATCATCACTCTCATCCCCAAGTAGTTCCCCTTCGTCATTATCCACAACACCGTAGTCGCCTCTCCCTCTCGCAAAACTGTCCCTCGTCGTGAATCTGGCCGGCCTACTCGTGCCAAACGCAGAGCCTGCAGAGCGCCAAAGACTGGCGAACAGCAAGGACGTGGCTGCTAGGGTAGCTGCAATAGCCGACATGGCCATGATTGGGTACTTGATGTATGGTGCAGCTTGGTCCAGAGATGCTGCATCGATGTTAGTTGGGATCAGATATCGATCGTTAACTGAAAAGGGCAGCAGCTTACATTGTTCTCCAAGTCTGATAGCACCGAAGTGCTTGTCGTAATTTTGCCAAAGGTAATATCCAATAGCGCCAGCGGCTGCAAAGGGCAAAACGATAGCAAAGAACAGAGCGACGCTCGAGACGCCGTGCTTCTCCTCGAACTCCTTCCCATGGCCCGGGCAGGGGTGTTGAATGCTCTTGTCCATTTCCTTGCCGCCTTGACAGGTGGAGAGCGGGATACGACGGTAACCAGTTGGCTCGTCATATTCGATGCGGTTCTCGTCTTCCAAGCAGTACAAGGAGTGATCGTAAGGAGTGAAGCCTTCTACAAGTGCACAAGAGCCATCGCTTTGTCGTTGAAAGTTGTAATCACTAGTTGTTATGTTAGCTTGTCATGTTCGGAAGGTATTGTAGGGGACGTACCACTCAAAGTCTCTTCTTGTACAGGTGCAATTTCTCTCTATGTTGTGTATATGGGGGATCATCTTGCCATTGTAGCAAGCCTTGTCTGTTCTCTTGCGGTGATACGACGAGACGTGTCCAAATAAACAATCATCGCTTTGCATCGGGTGCTTTGGTGTCCACAGATAATAGTCATCAGCCTCCACATCGTCTTCATTGAGCTTGCACTGGGCATCCGTGAGGCCAGAGAAATCCAAGTTGATGGTGACCAAATCATTACCATCTGTACCCCAGAGAAGGAAGTTACGAGAGTTGTCGCTCGGCATAGTTGTGAGATCGTCGACTTCGATTTCCTTCTCAGCAAACTTGTATTCAGTCCAGGTCTTACCCTCATCGAGAGAGTAGTGGACCACATTAGTGGAAACTCTCTCCTTCACAATAACGACGATCGATCCCTGGTCACCGAATTCCCACATGTAAGACCCCTTCATGACCTCCATCCAGGTGACTCCTCCATCGGCAGTCATGAAGGTGTTGGCATCTTTCATGCTGGTGAGGTATTCGCCGACGTTTCCAGTGCCAAGCATCAGCCCAATCGCAGATTTAGATGAGTAGGTGTGAGATTTGTCTGAACGCTCAGTGTAGCCGTGGATGTTCAAAGAGCACTTCTCGAGCGAAGAGCCGCCGCAAGGGTACTTCTTCTTATCTGCGTCCTCCTTGGGTGGCGTAAGATATGCCCATTCAGCGCCATCGTTATGAGTGATCATGGTCTTGAGCTTCTTCCTATCCTTCTTGAAGTTCTTGTCCTTGTAATTGGCCACTATATTGACCATGGCAATACCTTCAATCCCAAACATCTTCTCAAAGTCAACGTAACCGAGGGTGTCTCTGTCGACTGCGTCTAAGCTTAAGGTGTATGAAGTTCCATTAGAGTTACTCTTGATGATGGATCCATACTCGAGCCCTTCCTCATTGCTGATTGTGACGTGCAAAAATACAGAGTGTGTAGAGCTGTCCAGAACCGTGTACCCAGATTGATGAGGCACATCAAATCCGTAGGGAAACTTAGCATCCGCAAAAGTTAGGCCGTTCACACTCGTATCAACCTTCAAAGTCGACGCAGTTTCATTCTTCGTCGCGACAACAATGAATTCAGACATTGAAGCGAAGTCGACCACATTAGTGAAATGCTCAGTTGGCTGCTCATTGAAGAAGTCATCACTAGATACCAGTTTGTATGGATTGTCCCGCTGGTCGTTACTCTCCCTCGCACGAACCTCGCAATACATGAGCTTGTCTCGGCTCTTTTCGTCGATTTTCGGCGTTGGCTGATGGACGAGGTAACCACTCTCGGGCTCCGCGATAAATTCGCACTTTCGGACATAGCGCTGGAGTGTCTTCCAGTCTCCATCGCCGCGATCGAGCGTGATAGAGGCGACAGTATGACAATTGCGACCAGGACAGTCCCTCGCACCCATCCAGATGAGCCAGTCCTTGTTCTTCGGGTGAAAGCCAAGAACTGGATAGCCTTGCTCATTTGGCTTGTCCGGCGCCTTGAACTTTCGGACGTTCTTACCACGGTCGGTAGAATAGTAAACTGTTTCGTCACCTGTGATGAAAAACACCATATCGTTGAAATGTGGATGAGCATATATAGCATAGATGGGTTGATCCTTGAACATCTGCTGCCACTGTTTCCCGTGATTCTGAGAGATGAAGATACCGGCATCTGTTCGCATAATGACAGTCTCGTCAGACCCATCACTGATTCCCGTTCTCTCAAGATAGATTTTCTGAGAGAACTTCTTCCCACCATGACCATTAGAGGCATCGCCTGGCTTTCCAGAAGCTGGCTCACCAATAGCATCGACGCACTTTCTGTCAACTAGGTCATCCTTGTATTTCTCTCCTTGGAGCTTCTCGCAATTGTTTCCAGGAATGAGACGCCATCCAGAAGAGCCCTTGAATGTGTCGTCTGGGCCAAATGCTTTACAGGCACCTTCTGGGACTACCAAATCACCAGCCTTTTCACACTCTTTGCGATCCTTGCTGCGCACAAAGTTGTAGTCGCATTCGAAGTCGATATCTGTGCAGGGACACTTCTCGGAAATTACTTCAGGATCCTCAAAGACTTTGTTGAGAAAGCAGTCTGCACCAGCCTTCCTTCTGAGGTACGACTGTTTCTGGCCCATCAAGCATGACGGCTTGCCATCGTCGTCGATTCTAGCGTACCATTTCTCCATATCATCATCCTTGCATTGGGATTCATGCATGCCAGCAAAGTCCAACACAAACAAGTACCCAGACGGACTCAGGTCATCTTTATCAGCGGCCTCGAGAAGGAACTTGAGACTCGTGGAATCCGGAATTGTGGTGAGCTGAACAGGACGGACTGTCTCAGGAAGTTCCACAGTGTCCCAGTTCTTGCCGTGGTCTATCGAGTATCGGACTTCGGTGCCAGGCCCTTCTTTCATGGCAACAAGGATGGAACCTTGGTCACCGAATTCATACTTATGTGGTCCAGTCAAAGCTTCTCTCCATGTCCAACCCGCATCATCAGAAACATATAGATTCCCATCTTCATAATCCTTCAAATGCTCTCCTCTATTCCCTATTCCCATCACGAGGCCAGGGCTTGGACTAGAAAATACCCGTCCAGAATTCGAAATATCCGTGACAGAGTGAAGATGCAAATCGTGAGTGTCAGCCCTCTTGTCGTCAGACGTTAAGCTTAGATCCTCCCATGTCCTTCCGTCGTCGAAGCTAATTTTGGTCTTGATTTTCTTCTCGGCGTTTTGCTTCTCGACGTCTTCCCAATTATCAACAATATTGACCAGTATGATTCCCTGGATACCATAGACTTTCTCAAAGTCAACCAATCCATAACTATTTCGGTTTGTGTGCTCGATGTTCCGTGTAAAGAATGTACCATTCGAATTGCTGCTGAGAAAAACACCCGTAGGATTCGAAGGTCGGCCGTTCATCACATCGATTTGAATGCTGTAATTCGTGCTCTCCAGAACCGTATATGCCTCTTCTGTAAGCTTGTGGTCGTGTGGGAAGACAGCTCTGTGCCATTTGACTGCATCGTCCGAAACATACAGAGCCATCTCGTCGGTTTTCTCAGCACTCGCCGCAACGATCAGGAATGGTTTCACAACCGCCATATTGACAATGCCCTGCACAGTCCTACCCGACTCCAGCTCTGGCTCGAACTCCTGCACCGCCCCCTTGCTTTCTTCGAAGTAGTTATCCGATATCAGTAGTCGGAAGTCCTTCTTCCATGGTGAGAATCGGCCCTTGACGATACAGAGGATTCGGTTCTTATCCAAGTCCTCCTGCCCAGTCGTGAACACTTCTGAAGACTTGGCCCAATGGCAGCCAGAAGTATCAATACGAAGAATCTCTGGTCCTTTCGCGAACCCGTCTATCGTGTACATAGTCTGCGACAATTAGTCCCTTCCCTCAAGCAGATTGAACAGACCTACCACTTCATCGCAGAAGATGCCCGTACAGTCCATAGCATTAAAAATAATCCTATCGGGGTCCCCAGCATGGTAGGTGAGGGGCTCTCTGAAGATCGACGCGAGCATCTTCGCCTCGAACTTCTCCCACGTCTTGCCCTGGTCATTTGTCTTATAGTGTATCTTCTCGGTGGTAAGGATGAACGCCCGCTTCTTATCATACGGGTGCATGGAAACCTCCAACACCTTGCCACTGGGCCCGTCTATTTTCTCCCACGTCACCCCAGTGTCCTGCGAACGGTAGACATCGTTGCTAAGGGGGTCCTCCATCAACACCACGTCCGAGTCGTCGAAGTAGTTCACATTGTAGGGTATAAAGTCGAACTTATTGCTCTTGACATCCGGCTTGTCATTCTTCGCCCAGGCTCCGATGAGCAGCGTGGGAAGGAGAAGGCTCCGCCAACCGACGGCAGTACTGTGTAGCCTCATAATCGCAGTTTGTTGATTTGGAAGCACATCAAGAGGTGCAGGTTCTCATCAAGTCGCCCTGATGATAGTGTGTATTTGGCGTCAAAATCGAGGTGTGAAGTTGTGATGAAGTGGTCTTTACCAGTGGGTGCTCTGTACTTCAAGTGCTTGGCTGTTGGCTGAGAGCTGACACTTGGACTCTGGGACTCTGGAGCTCGCCATGAAACAATCCGGGACGGGCCCATCAAAGCGTTTACGCCACACACAGCTAGCTAGTGGCTCGGTGACGCACTGTTAGTCGGTCTTTCCTTTCTAACTTCAGATTCACCAGGAACTATTTTAGGTTGCCTCAATTGCTCTAGGGACTTGATACAAAAGTTGGTCTCTGCTATACACTACCTATACCACCTAGGTAGATCTGACGCGTTCTGATGAGTTATACGATCATATCTTTATTTACCCGACAGTATCTAGGTAGTCCGTCCATCCGTCTTTATTTCTCAGCCACACATCACGTGTCACCTTCACCTTCGAGATCTCTGCTAAAACCTAAAATACCTGGACCCCCTTGGCGTTATCACACTGTTTCAAGCACTTGGTTTCAAGAGCAAGATGCACTGGTAACAGCAGTCTTGGCATCGGAGACTGATGCCTTCAGGTTGCAAAGGAGCTCCAGAGAAGGAAATGGAATACTGCTTCTGCTTACGGAGAGTATCTGGTGAGCCATATTGCCAAACCTTGGTCGAGGCTGCGCAGTCTTCGAATAGGCGCATAAGAGGCACAAGTCGGCTGGAGAAGAACAAGACAAACTGAGCTGCTACATTGCTCACAGCATTCATTCTAAATATGGATTAGATCTCAAGTCCTGGTATCAATACTGGCTTTGCACCCTGCCATGCGACGCCCTATCCGAGAAGCAATACAAAAGAAAGCGGAAAGCTGACCCCGCTAAATTACTGTACAAAAAACACTCGACATTATCGGTACCACCGGCCTTACGTGGCCTTCCTCTGCGTGCTTTTGACTTTTTTCCAAAACCTCTTCACCACCCCCGTCTCCTTCTCGGCTGATCCCCATCCATCCGCATATCCACCAAGTGAGCTTTTTAGAGATGACTTCTCGTCGAGTGATCTCGACGGCTCTTCAGGTATCCGGCTCTTGCATTGCTGCCACCCGTATATAGCCGTCTCGTCCGCCCGGAGATCAGGCCGTGTGAGGGTCATCCGCAAGGTCATTTCTCTACTTCCTGCATTGTTGTTGTGTGTAAAAGGTTCTGCTTGCTTCAACAACACGGGCCTGCTGGAAGCGGGATTTGTAAAGTCGGGGAGGGTCATACAACGACTGGATGCAGACGTCGTCAGTGTCCGGTTTTGGGGACGGAAGCCCAGCTCGCCTCGTGGAGTCAATGGCGAGTCCGGATCCGCCATGGATATGTCGTCTTCGAACGACGAAACTGTATCATCGTTGTAGAAAGATTGATCTCGCTCGATGCTAAATGATTTCTCCTCTCTTCCAGCGTCCACCGACTTACACACTGGAGGCTTATTCATCTTTTCCGCGTTATCGGTCAGCCCGTCCATAGAAGGGAAACCGAACTCGATAGCCTCATCGAAATTCTTTGGGGACGCCAAGTAAACTCGAAGCTTTAGTCGGGCCTCGGGATCTTGATAGTGGGTCGTACTAGGGTCGATAGCTACTATCGATAAATTCGAGATCTCTTGTTTTGGTTCTCCTAGAGACATGGTTCGAGATCTATGACGGCCATGGGTGGGTGAAGGCTCGGATTCTGGCAAGGTAGATATCGAATTTCTGCCGAATGGTATTTTAGAGACTGACAATTGTCGTCGAAATGAGGGACGTCGGATGCTAGAGGTCGTAGGAAGGACAACTCCATCCAAATTGGCATGGTAGTCGTCCAGCGCTAGCTTCAGATCCAAATCCTGCTCCTCGTCCATCCATCGGAAGCTTTCGTACATCTGTGAGGCCATGTTCGAGGTGGATTTCCCCTGTGTATTTGGTCGAAGACTGTCTGTACTTTCTCGGGCAGTATCAGATAGCGAAAGGCCAGACATTGGTGAAAAGTTCCTGCCCTGCCGCGTCACTCTGTTCAATGTTTCTTCGTCGTCGTCGGTGAGAGTGAGACTGTCTCGCGAGCGGCTTGCAAGCGATGTTTGTTTTTTCCGCGACAAGGAATGCTTATTCTTGATTGAGTTTGGAAAATTCAAAAACCATGACTCCTCAAGACTAGCAGTAGATTGTCGTCTCGAATTCATATGCTGCCGGTGAGTAGCCAGCCGTCCAGGTTCAATGAGATTGACGTTCACGCCTCGGCGGTCCGCTAGAGAGCTCTTTCGGTGACTTTGGATCGGGAGCTCGTGTGCAGCTCTCAAGCGGGAATCCTGGGCGTAGCTCAGGCGCTCCAGGGTAGAGAAGTACTGTTGTTGAGAGGAGAGATAATTAGCCTTGGCCCTTGGGGACAGATCAACAAGCCTTCTGCCTCCATCTTGAAGGGAAGGGGAAAGCTAGAAACATGGTTTTGTGCTCAAGTTTGGCGGCCTATGCAGGTCCCCATCTAACCGCCACTTGGCTCGTTTTGGGTGGCAGGCAGGAAGACGCCAACTCTGCGTCGCGACGTTGATGCTTGCAGTTTGCGGGTGACGATCCCGCTCATAGTCGCGCGACTGCAGAGGAAGTTTGAGACGGCATGTCTGGCTTCCCCACTCCACACAGACTCAGCAGCATGGGTGTCCGATGATACTTGAGACTGCTGTGGCGAGACAACTTTCGGGATTGCATCCCATGTGTGCCATGTGTGCCTCTTGAATCTCGACATTTCTGCCATGTCTTGCGGTTTGTGAGGCTTCCCATCAAGCCACCCGGGGCGACAGGACAGGGTCTCTGGCTCTCCGGGTCGTGGATGACCTGGACCCATGAGTCCGTCCGGTACCTTAACCGAGTAGCTAACGACATGTGTCTCGTCTCGCATGATGAACAGACACAGACGTACCTTCTTCCTCACGGCACTTGGCAGGGCCTCAAATTCTTCGTCCGTTGTCCCAAATCCCGTCATCTCCTTCATATTTTTCCTCATTCGTCTCGCCGGTCGGCTATACGACGAGGCTGAACGATCGTGAAAGGACTGGGCGTAGAGGGCTCGAATGGACTGGGGAGAAGTGGTATAGTCGGAGTCGAGGTCGAGGTCGAGGTCGTAGTCGAAGTCGGACGGGCAGTTCGAGGCGAATGTTGATGTGTAGAGAGGCGGCAGGATCGGTGAATGCTCACCTATCGTGGGTCGCTCGAGAAACCGTCTATTGGTACCGGCGATGCGGCCTGCGTGCGGTAACGGCGCCATAACGGAGACTTCGAATGGGGAGAGGGGGGGTGGATGAGGAGGATGGGAGAGGGGGGAGGAGAGCAGGCAGATTAATGTTGCATCTTCACTCACACTCACACTCGCACTCAGACAAGAAATTAGGTGAGAAATGTTGGGAGATGAGCAGATAGAAGCAGTTGTATATAGGAGGAATAGCTTGTGTACAGAGCGGACAGCTCAGATAGCTAGTTCATATACCCTTGCTTCCAGGGGTGGAGAACCTTTTCTCAACTGGCACTGGGGACACTGGGGACACTGGGGACACTGGGGATACGGGGGGCATTGGGGGCAACTGGGGGGCATTGGAGACATTTGGGGCATTGGAGGCATTGGGCACCTTCCTGTCCGTCCTGTCCGTCCTGACCGTCCCGTCCAGAGTTAGTTTCTTTTTTTCACATCCGCTGTCAGCCTGTCAGGCCGTCACCCAGTGAGCCTGTCTGTCACCCAGTCACCCAGTCACCCAGTCACCCAGTCACCCAGTCTACCCAATCTACCCAATCTACCCAGTTCACCCAGTTCACCCAGTTCACCCAGTTCACCCAGTTCACCCAGTTCACGCAATCTGCCCGCCACCCAGTCACCCACCCAGTCCGCCACTCTGCACCTCCCGCGCCCACCCCATCTCCACGCAAGCGCCTGCTCTGTTCTTCTCCCTGTCGCTCAGTACTCCGTACTTACTCCGTAGTTGAAGCGTCATGATACGTAGTACTTAGTTGTAATTCTACCTTTGCATGATCGTCAACGCATTCGTCGAGCAATGCAGGGGGTGATGGGCAAGCATGCCGGAGCCCCGACGAATGATCGGTACGGCACAGCACAGCTACCGGCACTACTGTACTACCTACTACTTCGAAAAGCACGACTATACCGGTAGTAGTGGTGGTACCAAATAGTTGTACGATGATTCCGTAATCCAGTCTGTGCTTGCCCAGGGCAGAGAAAAGATACCTAGCCAAGTACCGGTAGGTAAGTTGATGAAAGTACTACGTACACAAGGGATGGCCGGTGGATCGAGACTCGAGAGGAGGAGGATACGGAAATAAGGGAATTAAGGAACGCTCAATCGGATTCGAGAACCCGGACCCATGCGCGCCCTTGGAACGGAAGCTTTCGAAAACGGTTGCCCAGAGAGTCACTTGGCTCGATTCGTCGGACCTTCGTATCACGTCGTAGCTGTACTAGCTGTAGCTGTAGCAGTAGTTGTAGCTGTAGTTGTAGCTGTAGCCGTCGCTGTAGTTGTAGCTGTAGTTGTAGCTGTAGCCGTCGCTGTAGTTGTAGCTGTAGTTGTAGCTGTAGCCGTAGCTGTACTGCAGCTGTAGCCGTAGCTGGAGCTGGAGCTGTACTTCTCTGTAGTTGCATTAGTCCAGACTATATCTCGAGCACATAAAGAGTACCTAGTAGCACTTAAGGTACTTAGTAGAAGTTGTGCCAAATGTCGATCGTCACAGTACTCCGTAGTCAGTGCACTGCAGGTCCAACTTGCAAGTCTCCACTACAAGACAGCTGGAAAGGGGGAAAAGGAAAGGGGGCTTCGCTGAGCAGCCTTGGTAGCCTTGGTAGCCTTAGTAGCCTTAGTAGCCTTAGTAGCCTTAGTAGCCTTGGTAGCCTTGGTAGCCTGAGGCGGCAATGATTCGCTCAGCAAGCGCCGCCTTGCCCTGTGCCCATCTCTCTCAAGTTTCACTCGTTCGGCCACTCCGTTTCCCGTACCGACACCCATCAATCAAATCAATCAAATCAATCAAATCAATCAAATCAATCAATCACTCAATCAACCACCTTACTCCAACTTTCCAGCCCAGCCCGGCGCCATCTCAAACAACCGTCCAGATCTTTCTCCTATCCACGGCTTCTTGCCGCTGGCCATCCTCGTCGGCGCGTGGCTGCCAGCAAATCTCGCACCTCCCGTTGCCATCGATCGATGCACAGCATTTCAACTCGAGTCAACTCAACTCAACTCAACGCGAACAGAACACATGGTGAGGCGTGTCTTTGCATATGGACCCTTGCAATCAGCAGCCGGTAACCTCCCTACCTGTTCCGTACAAGCTGCATTACAGTCGTAATATCCCCAGTTTGCCACGGCAAAGCCCGCGAACTGAGCGTCGGGGAAAACGTCAGTTAGCATTGACTCTCCATCTCGATATGCTGGTTATTCACAGCGCCCTCGTGGAGAAAAGAAGCATGGGGACTGGCACGCTGCTTTCGATCATCCACGCGAAATGATCACGGACTTTACTCTCGTACCCCTCTTTCTTTCCTTCTTTTGTAGCTCCACAAACCATGGACGAGGCCCGGAAAGCAAGCTCCGCAGTTTTTCGGCAATCTGTTCTCGCTCTCTATGATGGCTGCTGTCAGCCCGCACCCACAAACGACCTGGTCTCTCGCCTGGAAGTGTAAGTGTTTCACGATGGCGAAGCCTTATCATTCAACTTCTTTACAATCTCAGCTTTCTTCTAGCCCTGTACAAGGAGCATTCCGATCTGGAGCCCTGGGATGGGTCGGAATATCATACCGGTACTCCCCCTACTTCGATCTCCCCTTACTCCATTGAACAAATTGCGCCTATCCGATGTAAGCGATCGTCCAGATATCGACTAGCAAGAGCCTCGGCGCTTTCATGCCGTTCGGCATCGCAGACCTTGACCTATCTGCCCAGGATGAGCTCGATTTGCTTTTTTTGCCTACAGACTCGTCTCGGTAGCCATTCTACCCCTCCTCTCTTAAAGTCAAAGCAAAGAGGACTACAGTCTGTCCTCACGTACTACTACGTAGCTAGGTATTACAAGGCTTGTCTTAACAAGGCCAAATAGAGGTGTTGACTTCTTCTCTACTAAATGACCATTTTTACTGCTTGGACGGGCTTAGTCACGACAAACGACTTGTTGGTATCAAAGGGATCTATTAGCTAACAAAACAAAAAAACAAGAAGCGGTTGCTGCAAGGCTAAGAAGCCAGACGGCACGAATATCTCGGCCATACCTACTCCTCAAATTCAACTTGGCACAAAAATACGTAACCTACCCATCATGGAAAAGATACTTAAGAGGTCGGATGTACATAACCGCCCAGTGCATTGCCTTCTCGCTTAGCTCGGCCTTGATGGAGTATCTAGGTACCTATATTTCGCAATCCCTCAATCTTTAAGAGGACATACCACGATTCTGTTACTCACATGTGCCCCCGTCTGTCCATCTCGATTACCCCGACCTTTACTTTACTTCTACGTATTGGTCATTCCTCAATGGTACCAGTTTCACTTTTCTCGCTGTTCTGGCCGACGAGATCGTCGTAATTCCCCCTCCTCGGACCACGGGATCTCGGTACATCTCGTAGCCCTGCAAATGCCGCATCCTATTGCTTTTTTTCTTTTTTCTTTCTTTTTTCTTTTTTTCAGTAGAGCACTCTCCACGTCTTGTGCATTGGGGCCTCGCCTCTTTTCTTCCCGTGCTTGTCCTGCGTACGTGGTGGCTAGCTAGGATAGTGAGTGGAGTGACTGGCCAGCCAGGCTCTTCCTTCCTTGGTCATATCTGCTCCACGAAGCGATTGAAGAACTCTACCTATCTGTACGTACGTATACCTTGCTGCTGATACGACGGTATAAGGAATGAGTGGGAAAGAAGACCATGGTCAATTTTCCACATTCTCTCCTGCCGAGGGGAGAAATTGAAGCTGGCGGTAGGCAAACTGGGCTATAACTCCCCACCGCCCCTCTCTTCAAAGAGAACTGCACCATAAGTCAGGTTGCTATAGAGAGATAACGATATTCGGTCTGGTTCATCACTGCTGCGGAGAAGAACTGCAAGCAACGCCACGTTTCATTCAATTCATTGCAAGCTGCTATCAACACGGGCCAGCCGCTTCAAGCGCACACCATATGCGTACTCCATCCATCCGCGCTATGCAAAAGCAATCAGAAGCACCTCATTTCCCCCAACGCTCAACAATACAATCAACCCCGCTCCCCCCACTCCCCTTCCCTTCCCTTCCCCCTTTCCCGCCTCTCGCCTTCAACACTTCCGCAACATCACAAGTTCCCCCTCTCAGCCTGCTCCCTCTCAATAGCCTCAAATAGACTCTTGAAGTTCCCGGCTCCGAAGCCATCAAACTCCTCCCTCTGGATAATCTCAATGAACACCGTCGGCCGGTCCATCAGCGGCTTTGTAAAGAGCTGCAGCAGGTACCCGCCCTCATCAAAGTCGATCAGGATATTCAATTTCTGGATCGCGTCAAAGTCCTCCTTGAGCTTCCAGCTCCGCTGACTGCCCTTCAGACGGAGCCGCATCGTCTCGTAGTACGTCTCTGGCACGCTGATGAACTCCACGCCGCGGGCTCGCAGGTTGGAGACGGCGGCGATGATGTTGGTGGTGCGGAGAGCAATATGCTGCACGCCCGCCCCGCCGTAGAAGTCGACGTACTCTTCAATCTGGGACTTCCTCTTGCCCGGCGCGGGCTCGTTGATGGGCATCTTGACGACGTTATTCGGGGACGCCATCACGATCGAGCTGAGCGCCGAGAACTCGGTGGAGATTTGCGAATCGTCAACCGACCAGAAGCGGTGGAAGGAGAGACAGCGCTCGTAGTAAGCGCAGGCGGCTTCCATCTGTCCCCAGTCCTGGTTGCCGACGCAGTGATCGATTGCCTCGAGACTCACTCGCGGGAGGAGCTTCTGCAAGGGGTCTTCGACCTTGGATGCCGGGATGGCTTTGTAGCCTGGCAGGAAGACGCCATGATACGAGTCCCGCGAGATGAGAGTGTGTGTTGTGTCGCCGTATGTACGGATCACAGCCGCTGTCACAGATCCGTCCTCGTCTCCAACTGTTTGCGGTTGGCGGACCGAGACGGCACCTTGCGAGACGGCCTGGTTATACACAGCTTCCACGTTGTCCACCTCAAACGCCACGTCTTTGACGGCGTCGCCGTGCTTCTCCAGATGTGCGTAGATCTCCTTTAGTAGCGTCCGTTCTTCTGAAGAGATGGGCTCATCCTCGTCGAGGCAGGTGTAGGATTTTATGGGTGACGTAAGCACGAACCTGATATTGCCATTGGCGACGACGTGGGAGGCAATGTAGCGGCTACCCGTCTCGAGGCCTTTGTAGGCTACGGTGTAAAAACCCAGACGGGTAGTGTAGTATGAGGCTGCTTGCTTGGCATTGCCCACGTACCCTGATGAGGAGTTAGTGGTCGATTGATTATTAGGTACCCACCCATGACGTGAGGATTTGCTTGCTGCAGATACAGTATTTTACGTGAAAGTGTGGGCATGGTATAAGATCCGGGTCCTAGGAAACCTACAAGTGATGTGATCGTAGCCATGGAAGTTGGGCGTGCCATCTACCGCTCCAGGCGTGTGATCGGATGTCGGGAAAGACAGAGAAGCCGATGATATGATGGGAGAGACGGCGGACGGAGCCATGGTTTTTTCTTTTCTTTGTCTTTCCTTCCTCTTTTTTTTTTTCTGTTTTTTTCCTTGTTTAATTTGGCAGCTCTCTCTGGCGGATCAGAAACGTCAAACAGACTGGGCTGAAACCGTCGTGAAGGGGACGCGTAACACTTGGAAGCCGAGAAGAGCAGGTCTCGATGATGGACACCTAATAATTTGTATGTAACAAAGGAGGAGGAGGGTAAGGAGGAGGAGAAGGGGCCTGCCTTTTTAACATCCACGGCTCTTACAATGAATGCCGGGAGTTAAGACGTGGTGACCTACCTATCTTATCTATACTTTCCCTATATACCTTATCTATGCCTTGTGATTCCCGGCCCATGCATGGTAGCTTCCTAGTTGACTCCTCGGGGGCGCGCGCGGCTGGGATCGGCTCGGCTTTAGCGAGCGCGGAAATGGGGGATGGGCTTGGCAGCCAGCGGCTCAGGCACAGGGCTGAAACCGGCGACTCGACGACTTTACCCACCGACCTCAAGCACTTCAAACCGTAGGTAGATAGGTAGGAAACAAAAGCCGCAATGGAAAGGAGGAGGGAGGTGGAGAGCGACACGTCATTTTGTCCCGAGGGACGACGGTGGTAGGATATGGGTATGTATCTGTGACCGTGGTGATAAAAAGGCCGTCTCGGCCCCGTCCCATGCATCACATTGAAAGTCAACAATCGACCATCGCCAACCGACAATGGCCTCCCAACCACTCACACCTCACGACCTCTCCATCCTCGAGAAGATCAAGGATCCGGAAGCCAGCTCACCACCCCGCCTCCTCCTGGACGACAGCCTCGCCCGGGACCCCAACATCCCCGACCCCAGCCTCTACAGCCAGCTCACGACCCGCGAGCACACCATCCTCTCCTCGCTCCAGCAGGCAGAGCTCCAGATCGCCGGGCTCGAGCCCGCATCCCCAGACCCAGACTCCCCGCTGCAGCAGTACCGAGCAAGCGTCCGCCATCTCGGCGCCCTCATCGCCACCCACCCCAACTACGCGAGCGCGCGCAACAACCGGGCCCAGGCGCTACGTCGCCTCTACGGAAACCTCCTCCTCGTGCGCTCCTTCTCCGCTTCCGCCTCGCCCTCGCCCTCGCCCTCCTGCCTCTCAGCACCAGGAACCCCGCCGCCGGCCGACCGCAGAGCGGCGGCCTCGCCACCCGCGCTGGACCCCGCCCCCTCCGAAGCCACCTTACTCTCAGCCTCGGCAACGGTCCTCTCCGACCTCGACACGGCCATCGCCCTCCTCGCCCCGCGGACGCCCGCCACGCCGCTGTCGCCGCAGGCAGCCAGGACGCTCGCGCAGGCCTACACGCAGCGCGGCGCCCTGTACCACTTCACCGCGAAGGCGCTGTCTGCTGCTGCTGCTACCCCCCCGGACCGCGCCGAGTTGAGGATCCCGGCGGGCAGGAGGGAGAGCCGGTGGGGGCCGGTCGAGTTCGAGGAGGCGGCGAGCAGCGACTTCGTGCTGGGCGGGCGCTGCGGGAGTGAGGTGGCGAAGGCGTTGGCCGTGGCGGCGAATCCGACGGCGAAGCTGTGTGGGGAGATTGTGAGAGGGGCGATGAGGAAGGAGTTTGCTGGTACTGGTGCTGGTGCTGGTGCTGGTGCTAGTGAGAAAAAGTAAGGACTTGGATGGCATGGCGATCTGGGGGATTGGAGTTGGAGGAGTTGGGGGGTTGAGCAAGCACGCGCTGTTGCGCTGAAAGATGAGTTGCTTGAAAGAAAGCTGAGGCCAGACAGATAGGTGACAGGAGGCTGAGGCCCAATTAGGCGTCGAAAGAAATAGACCATAGCCTGAACTAAACGTGCACTTCGGTCAAAATTACTGAACCGAAGGTGGCAGTTCGAGATCCAACAGCGAAGCACTGGCTGGCTTCCGAATAATTGAAGACCTGTAGAGAACACCCAGAATTAGAAGTCCTGTGAGCCAGAATCTGAAGGGCGATGTATCTCGATTCTCTGATCCTCGCTTATGTACAGAGGAACCAGGACTCAAGCTATCTGGTTGCGTACGTGTTACCAGGAAGCATGCATCCACCCATCAGAGATAGCCTCGATCTTCTCCCGCCCCTCCGTACAGCAATAAACAATAGTCGGTCTGTTCGTAAAGAAAGGTAGTAGGAAAAGACCCAAACTCCAGCCCAGCCCAGTGACCATCAATGCACCAAACGCTCATCTCGCTCGCAAATGCTGGGGGGAAAAAAAGCACGCAAATCAGGAGGGAAGCTGCAAAGTACTTCGCATGGCAAAACATTCCCTCCATCGCCGTTGGTCGTAGTCCAGTATTCGTGTTGCATGTGCTGGTTCGTGAAAGATCGTGTTGTTCATTCTCGTCGATAGCATGATGGGCATGCTTTTCTTGCCACTTTTCCGCCTGGAGAGTGTCCAATCAGGAGCCTGCATGCTGGCAATCCGAGCAGGGGTAGCAATTTGTATCTTATCGTATGCAAGGCGTGAAAAAGAAAATCGTAAAGGTCGTTACAAGATCAAACATCTCGTTTCTCATCTCTCGTGTTAACCATCCGATCATTCTGGCTCAACTTTCTATGATTCTGGCTCAGCTCTCTCCAACCCATCGCTCCTAGATAGCCAGATAGCAGTAGTAAATAAGAAGCAAGATGAATGTTTAAAAACAATCATCAGGCCAATCAAAACTCCTCTTGCTAGAACTGTTGCTCATACCCTTGTGCGCCTCACGCTCTTCACTCTTGATCTCAGCAGGTCCATCAGCACTGTACTTCATGTGAGCAGAAGGTGGCTTCGATCGATTCTTCTGAGGCTTGCGAGGGGCAATGTGCTCTGCAGTGTTGATAATCTCCCCGCTAGCCAGTCTCACAGACTTTGGCATTGGCGGCAATGGTGGTATACCGTTGATTGTCTTCTCCTGAACCTCGGGACCTTGCTGGCGAGATACCTTGGGGGCTGTTGCCTTGGGAAGGTTTGGAGCATTGAGAGTCCTCGGGTGGCCAGGCACGTTTTGGGATGGCTTGGTGTAGAAAAGGCCTGGACCGGTGAAAGAAGCCGACGAAGGGGGTGGGGATGCGGATTGTTGGCGACCAGTCGATGGAACCGCGACGGGTTTGGTACTCTGGTAGACACGGCTGGATGGGTGGGGGCTGTAGACTGGTTTCTTTGACGGGCTTCGTCCCAAGGCCTGCTTATCTGGTGGAGCAGGGGCGGTTCGAGTAGGTGGAGCAGGGGCTGTACGAGTCGGTGGTGGTATATCCTCTGAGCCTCTGGGCTTAGACTTGAGCGAAGATTCAGGTCCTGGGTGTACAGCATCGTGGGGAGCTTTCTTAGTAGGTACAGAAACCGAAGAAGTCTTTGAGCCTGGCACAGTCTTCTGTATCTTCTTGGGGTAGGTCAGGGTGATGGTAGGGCCGGTGCCTCTCGGGTTAGTGGTAGAGCTGGTGGGTTTCTGAGCAGGTCTGGAAATCGACGAGACTTCGGAGATGATGTCTGATTCTACGTCGTCGATGTCCTCCGAGTCCGAGGGTTCAAGAGGGATGAAGTCGTCATCTTCAGATTTGGACTTTCGCTTGTTAGAGCGGCCCCCGGCGGGTTGCACAGGTTTTGGTGTGGTATCCTCGACTTCCATGGTAGAGGACGCTGGCTTTGTTGCAGTAGTCCCGTCGGCGCTTTGGAGCGTGTCGCAGTAGCCAGTGACACTCGGATTTTCCTGAGCTGTTCCCAGATCTTCCGTGCCATGTATGGCTCGAGTCTCTCGGTTATCTCCGACGTGTGATGTGTACTGGCCAGCTTCTACCTTCTCGTTGATGGCAGATGAAAATACCTGACGAGTATCGCCCATCTCATAATCCGTTGTAACGGCCTGTCCAATCCCATTACCCGTCTCCTCGTGCTCGTCGTCCTCGTCGTCTTCCACTTCGGAGCTTACGAACCCGGCCAACAATCTCTCAGAAGGCAAGCTCGGCATAGCACCCGGCACAAATATGGCCCTAGAAAGCCTAGAGGTTGTCTGAGAATCAAACGAACCCTGAGAAGAACGCTTGGCGAGCGAAACGTGAGCCACATTCGTATCATCCGGCACAGGGTCTTGCAGAGCCTCCGCAAGCTGCTGTCTCGCCTGCTTGAGCCTCTCCTCCAAATTGCTAACACGCTTCACCAGCTTCTGCTGCTTCTGCAAGTCTTTTCTCGAGGCTATTCTGCGGGCCTGATGTTGTTCACCAATGCCCAGACCGACATTCGCAGTACTCGTGCTCTCACCCGTGAACGCACTCTTGATATTGGTCAAGCTGGCTTTCTTCAGGTTCGAGAGGGAGGGTTTCTTGAAGTTGAACATCGACTTGCCACCGGGTGTCGATGTGTTCGGTGTCGCCAGGGATGCAGTGTAATTTGGCATTGGGGTAAACTCTTTGGGTGGAAGGTCCACGCGTGGAGGTTGCACACAGACTCCTTCCTTTCTCTTCTCATCAATCGATGTACTGCTTCGCGCACTCGAATAGTCGACATCTCCAAACTCGATCCCCGAGTCGTGTTTCGCAGCCGAGCCTCTCTTCTCCGCTGAGGGAGGGGGAAACGCTCTTGGTCCATACGCAGAGTCCCTGAAATGTCCGCTCTCCTTCAGCTGCTGGTATATCTTCTCCGCCTTCATCTGTCTCTCCTGCAAGACTCTGCGCTGGGCCGCTTCCTCGTCATCCGCAGCCTGCTCCTCCTTCGTCCAGAACTTCCAGTTGGTAGGGTTGAAGCTCGCAGCAATGGTTTTGCCAAAGCGGAATAGGCTTGAGGACCGCGAAGCGTCGGATACGTTCGAGGATGCCGAAATCGATGAATGAGTATGGTGCATAAATCGACCTCGAGCCGTATTCCGACCACGGATGCCCTCTCCGCATCCAGCATCACTGTGTTGAGATAACAGCTCCTCCTCCGCGGGGCCGAGATATGGTACAGGTGGAACTTGGCTAACACGATCGTTCATGCTACCTTCGACAAACTTTGAGGGGGGGATAGGGGCGCGGGCACGGCGGCCAGAGGGTGGAGATTTCTTGCGATGTTGTCTGGCTGGGCGGGGAGTGAGGCCACCATTTGGGCTGGCGCTGACGAGAGGCCAGTCAGCGCTGCGGTGTCTCTTTTCCGAAGGGTATTCTCCCTCGCCCTCTGCTCCATCCTGCGCGGTGGTCTCTCGTTGTTGTTGATCGTTGGGCTGTCGAGAATCGCGGTTGCTGAACAAGCGCTTGGTGCCCGGGACGGGGGTTGAGTTGCCAGAATTCGACTGGGACTGAGGTTGCGAATGCGTAGAGTAGTCGGACGGGTGTCGTTCACCTCGATCTCGGGATCGAACTCGAGCCTGTGGTTTCCACGATCAGCCTCCACGTCGATCTCCCATGTTGACAGAAAAGATCACGCCGGATTGCATGCCAGACGCATCCCACGAAGCGTAAGGGCGGGGGAAGGAACCATCGAGGCGGACCTACCTGGTATCGGGACGCCATCTTGCCGGAAATAACTCAGCGATGGGTTTTCATCCGTGGCTCCTTCTGTTGTGGGTGTCTGTGTCGAGTCCGTGTACCGTGGGTCGTAGGTCGTCGTGGTTGTCAGGATTGTGATGTTTTCTTTGTTTACTTCGGCCGGACCGCGATTTCTTCGGGCCGCGATCCTCTTCCTCCCCTTTCTGCCCTCCGACTGGCGAGGGGAAAACGAGAGAACAGAGTGCAGATGGATTGCATGAACAAGAAGCGGTGAACGAATCAGCTCTTCATGAATCAATGTGGAGATTGGCGGAGCTGAACGAACCTCCTGAAGGGTGCATCGTCCATGCTCGCAACTCGCACGAACAAGCTATTTGTGGTTTTCATATCCACGGCAACGGGGCCTAGCTGTGGATCCACGCTAAACTTTAATCGGGGCTCCCTATTTTGGAACATCAACAACGTCAACCATCGAAGTAGGTACACTCACTGTACGGACTGTACTCACTGCACAGATCTAACATCCTGATAGAAATAATAGATCCATCTCCGAGAATGCCTTAGAACATCATACCAGCTAGCAAATACTCCAAAGTTTCCGAATTCAAAACATGCATTTACTACCTTACGTATAAGCCCCTTTCAAGTACACTACGACTTGTCACATCTACAGAGATGGATGTACTTCTACGGAAATATAGTGTCGAGATTCTCAGTCTTCTCCCCCTCCCTCTCCAAAACAATAAAAATAAAAAAAAATAAAAAACCGCCCACACATAGAAAACCCCATCAAAGACCAAAACCCCCATCACCAATCGCACAACAGAAACAAATGCATACCATACCACACCAACCATCAAAG